ATATTGAAAGTCTTTTTCCTAAAAAATCTTTTATGAGTATCTATACAGACTACTTTTTCGTAAGCACGTAAAACTTATCCCTTAAATCATAGAATGTCATCCTTCAGTCGAGTGTTACACTGAAGTATACGATTTTATTAGATCGATATAATGTATATATTGAAAGTCTCTTTCCTAAAAAGTCTTTTATGAGTATCTATACAGACTATGCTTGAAGACTTTATCTATTATATAACAATGTTCTGATTTAAAAAGGTAAAATTTTGCATCTAAAAAGGGGCGTGAAAGCAGTGTTATGAAGATTAATTCTTTTCACATCTTGTGATTGATCATCAGCAAAATTACTTCGTAAAAAACCACTCTGATTGTACGCACAAGTACTCTGAAGTTGATATTAAAAGGATTCTGGAGTTCCTCATTGACAACATTAATGTAGTCTTCGGAGACCAAGTTTTCCAACAAACCGTTGGAATATCCGATGGGCACTAATTGTGTTTCTTTATTAGCTGACCTCTTTTTATATTCATTTGAAGCAGAATTTATGCAAAACTTCTACACGAGAAGAGGAAAACACTAGTTGTGGCCTTAAATTGGACATTTAGATATATCGACGATGTTTTATCAATTAACACAAGTTAATATGATCTTCCTCATTTAGGAATTCATTAATTGTTGAAACCCACTAGTGTATATTTTGATTTTAACAAACTCTCGCCCTGTAGTAAGATAAAGAATAAATCACTTCAAGATATTTTTAATGCCCTTTTTCATTCCATTGATTTTTGTTACAAATATCTTTAATTATACGTGAAAGGGTCATACTAGTGCATTTTCTTGCTTTTAAACATTATGCTTTAAAAATAAATGAAAACACAGACTTTTTTACATAATTAAAAAAAACTGTTAGTGAGATTTTATGCCAATGTAAAATGTTATAGCATTTGCAGTGTCGTCAAAAGAAAACTGAAGCTTCCCTCCATTCAAAGTAGGGGTGCATCTTTTCTAAAGATATGATGAATTGTAGTTTTTCAAATAACGATCTATATAATTAATGACAGTTTTTACTGAAAAAAAAAATCTTTTATATCTTCCAAAAGTCAATGAATGTATCGCTGATGTATATTTAGGAACAAAGGCAAATGTATAATATATACCAACAGTAATTTAAATTTAAAAATTCTGTATTAATTAGACACAAGCAGTAGGGGCAAGCCATTTATATGCTACAGATCTCCAATATAAATTGATAGATACCGAAAAAAAATCAAACAAAATCGACTGAACTAGAGTTTAATAACAAGTAAATCAAAAATCTTAACACATCTTAATAAAAAAAAAACAGTTTTCTCCCAGAATTCTTATTACTCATTTGAAAATAATTTGACCATCGATAGCTCGCAGACACTGGACACTATGTCGCATAGGTGTGCTCAAAGCATGAAAGTGAATACATTTGAGTCACGTGTTCAGTGCTTTGTTATTCATGAGGTCAAAGACGGGTTGAAATTTGTAAACAAGGTGCCTTTACTATGGAGACAAGCACCAGTGATTTTGCACCTTTTTGGAAAATAACAAATGAGCGCACGACTGTTTCAATTTCTTTCATGAATGTAAGTGAACAGTATAACTCTTTACATTGGCCGTATTTACGACAATTTGAAACATCCATGCGCTCATATAAAAAATAGGCTTGCAAAATGGGGGTGTGGCCTAAAGTCTATGAGAAATCGATGTAAACAACGTACCCCTGCTATATTAATCAGATAAATACCTAATTACAGTGTAATGAAGTAAAAATTGAAATTGAAATTAATCAACTAAAATGTTTGATGGAAATATTGAGGCAAAAATATGTAGAAACTCTTTAGTTTAATTTTTTTGTAAATTATCGGGGGGTCCAGATTTGGACGTTTAAACGATTCATTCTTTCCGAGTTCCGTTTTTATTTAAGGAGCAAGTGTCTATGATACGAAAAAGTCTAGATTTTAATTTAAATTTCTCGTTTAAGGTCAGTACGTCGCAAATTATTCTTTATAAGATCTTATTCGAAAAAAAAAATACCGATCGTTGGGTCTATTCATACGACGTTTCCCATCAATTGTTTCATACCATTTTGCCTACAGATTACTCGTTTATATGGTCAATACATTGGGCTCACTATGGATATAAACCGGTCGACATGGGATGCTTACTCCTTCTTGGCACCTGATCCTCTTTGGGGTTTCCAGGGGTTTTTGCCCTGATTTGTATTGTTGACAGGATTTATAAGATCGATCATTGTTCATTGTGTTTACTTTTTTCTCTAAACTGTAGAAAGAGTAGCGTTTTGAAAACTTGTTTACAGACAAACAGATGGACAAACAGACAACAGACACCCTATTAATACATCAGCTCTTTTAGTCTCTTGTATCGCCGGGGCATCTGTGCATGTTGACATACCATTATTATTATACGCACCTTCTATTTCTTAAATCAAAAGAAATATATTTTCAGGTTGGCACTTTCAATTTCAAATATCATTTGCCGCTTACTAGTGTTTGTCATCTGTTTATGATATGCTCTGTCTTTAATATATATAGAAATCTTCAATTCTATATGATACAAATCATACCACTTCCAAAATGCTTATTATGTCTTAAAAGAATTGCAGACAGAAGTACGTAGTTTAGTTTTTAAATTAATCAGAAAATTTCAAAAGAAAGAATTTTGTCCAGAATTTGAGCCGATCACAAACTGTTTAATGAAAACTTTTATTCAGACTTGGGAGACCGCGCGTTTAAAAGGATGAATATTTTCAAAGCAGTAATGGTGGGTTTAAAAGGACCGCATTGAAATCACAAACCCAAGTTCAAAAGTGATTTTAGAGCTTTTATTAAATATTTTTAAAAGTTATTGACTATTTCGTTTTATTATTTAGATAGCAAACTCTGTACATAGATCTCGTTGCACTCTCCTTTTAAAAACCTATTATTAATGTAATGTACCATGTTCAGTGAGGTATAGAATCCCTCGTTTAAGGTAGGTTGTCACACACATTCAGTTTTAGGTACTGAATCAGAAATTAGGCAATTTATATCATAAAACTTTTTTATTCAGAGATTTGTGTGCAACTAGAATTTTTAAAAAATAGTTTTTTAATTAGTGAATATGACTTTTATGATGATTCTTATTTTGGTTATCAAAAAATCTTAAGTGATAAAGTTTGGAAACAAATGTATGAATATAGTGGGACTGTAATACAAAACACTGTGCTTCTATGTACAATGATAAAACAGCAGGGTCGGTTGTCAATTAAGGACAGAAATGTAGATACTATGAATCGTTAAGTTTTACAATTATTTAATATGTTTGTGTCTTGGTATTTGCATTAAACATTATTACAATTTCAATCTATATTATATATTTAAAAAAAAAACAAATCAAAACTAACTGAACGGTCAATGCTCTTCGAATTAAAACAGTATTCAGCAAAGATTTAATAGAACTGACCTCTTAAGTAGGGTGCATATACATGCATGACATAATAACAACAGCTGTACGCTTGTAAAGTCTTTTGGAGTTATTATTTTATTGCCATTTTAAAAACAGCGACACGGGATTTATTTCTTCTCTGCAGATTAAATACCGTGCACACAAACTTTGTCTCTTTGTGTGGCGTCAATTTTTTTTTAATTTATCCTCTTTTCTGGTTTATTTCTAGACAATTTTGTCACCCTCGCTACTTCTTTTGTAAAGAGGAAACACCATATGGTAAGTACTTTAATGTTTTCACAAAAAAACCGTTAAACCTTGCAATTTCTATTTTATATAATATCAGAGTTAAGGTCATCATATCTTATTTTTCTGAATATGTATTTATCCAATACATTGTAAATAAAAGGCATCTTTCTATTTTCTTCTCTCCCCTCACTTGTGATAGCTTCGGTGATTTGTTGCCCTAGCATAGGGCATTAAGTATCCTAAGAAAATTAGAGTTTTTAGTCTATTTTTTTTTGTTTGTTTTGAGCATGATATGACGCTTGATATCCTGCAATGAGGAGTCCTTTTTACTTCTTTTTGATGCCCTTTTCAACGCAGGAAATGTATCTTTCCTGCCATTTTGCCACGTAAGATCAAAACATGACATTTTAAATGAAAAACCGTTACAATAAACTTAATAGAGAACTGTATTGATTTTTGTTTAATGAAACGTAAATATTTGTTACGGATTCGTGATTTAGTGCTTTAATATCAGTCTGCAAACAAAGCCGAACTTTGTTTTTGTATCATTACCATTTTCAGCAGGATCCTACAAAATTTCCGCAATTCTGCAGATTTCTTCATTAACTCTAATTTCTGGTGTGCCAGATCAAAATATAACTATTGTCCTATAAAACCTGGGATCGCATACATTCAGGACTAAATGGCGCAAAAAGCTAGTTAAATAAGCAATCCAGAGTCTTAGTAATTATCTGTCTGTAGAATTCACACGCACTGACCTCTCCACAAGATAAAACATACTGCTGGCAAAGAAATTAAAACGTGGAAATTAAATGGCCGCAGCATTGTCCGTATAGGTTACTAATAATTACCGTATAGGATACTAGTAATAACATGTATGTGTTCCATTTTGCTATAAACTAATTATCTAAAATACACTGGGTTGGAGGATTTTTACACAGTATTTCAATTACGCCTCACCATAGAATTTCCATACATCACTTTGCTCTAATGCTTGATCTTAAGAAAATACAGGAAAAAGAAGTATACTTCTACCTTTCAAGTAATATAGAAATAAGACAAGTAATTTTCCCCATCCCGTTTGAAAAACTCAACTGGATTGTAAAAATTTATCAAATTAATTATTATTTATTCCTTGCTTCTTGCTTGAATGCCTTGTATTAGCATGACAGCTTACAAAATTACCTCTGTACATCTATGTACGACATTTGAATGAACATTTAAATGTTCTTTAACATATCTTTGCAGATAAAGATTTTATCTTCCTCTATTCTTACAAGTGGTTCCTATTCATAACAATCAATTGGAAAAACTTTAGGATGAGAAAATAGTTTTTGACCTTTCTCAAATATCCAGTGAGTGTATGTATGTTGAAAAAGCTAATAATATGAGGGGTCTTTATGAAGGACCATGCATCTTTGTGTACGTGTTAAATGACTTTCTTATTTTCCAACAAAGACTGTAATTTTTAATCGATATCAAGAATTACCTTTCGGGTTTAGGGTATTCACAGAGTGCTTGACAGCAATTTAAAATCTAGCCATCGATTTATAAATACCACATCCTTAGGTAAATAGACAATCAGTGTATCGTTTTGATAGGTAACTCCAGATAACAATTTTGGTCTCGAAGTTTTGTGAAGTGGATTTTGAATAGGAAAAAAGTGTAAATGTATCTAGCTGCTTCAACTTTTTGTTCTGTGTCTTAAAGCACCTTCAAATCCATTTCTTTTTTTTCAGTAAAGTGGTAAGAATATCCCTGGTTATTCTTATGGTGTCGACTGATTCACAATGCCTAGGTATGTATATATGTGAAAATATTTGATTTCAGAATTGTCTCTTAATTGTGGCAAAATTATTTTTTTTATTTCAAGACAAAAAGGTAGATAATCTTTTAAGAGTATTAGAATTTCCATAATAAAAATACGAATGTCTTGGGGCGAGAAGCAATAAAATCTTCCTGCAAATATGATATAATATGGTTACTTTAGCAGTCCTTCTTGCCTATTTTAAATTCATGTTTGTGTACATGTATTTTGTATGATTTTTTTTTTTTTTTTTTTTTTTACAAATAACACAAATTCGATTACTGCTAAATTGTGAATCGTTAATTGATCTATTCTTAGACTCCAAATACATTGAATGCTTTCTATGGACTGGATAATAATTGAATATTAGAACTATACTGTACCATATAACTAATAAATAAAATTAAACAATGTTTTTGAGCATTTTGAAAAAAAACCAAACATTGTACTAGTTAGAATAATCTAACTCTGTCTCGGGACAAGCCCTCACCACAGTTACATGTAGAACACGTCCCATATAGTTGCAATGTAGCAAGTCGGAGGAGATCCGCTCCTAAATGATTTTGAAGAATACAAAAGGGGTTGTGCTGAAAATAACTACCAAATTAATCAAACAAACCTTTTTGAGATTGTATGTCTTTTATCCCAAAAAGTAATCCATATAAAGACGAAATTCAACTCATTTTCTTTAAGTTTTTTCTCGCTTCAAATTTACACGCCATGTTGACATTCGGAACTTTCTGGATTGTTCGTAGTAAATATCCACTGAGTTCGAGTTATCGCCCGTCTTTATTTTGCTACATTGCCAATACACGGAACGAATTCTATCGTTAAACCGGGTCCGTAGGACAATATCATTTTAACGATAGAACGTTCTATCTAACATTGTACATGTTCAATTTTTCAGCATGAAAATCGTATATGGTGTAAGTTGGACACATATTATACATATATAATGATATATGTCACAGTAAAGAACATCAATTTAACAGAATGATCTTTACATATATACATTAACTAGCATCGCATTAAAAGAGAAAGTCATTGTTTAGCTAAACAAAATTTTATCATTTTTTATTAGACTAAATTAGATGAACAGGTCAAGCAAAAACAGACACATTTAAAATCCATCAAAAGCAACTAAAGTACGGATAATAAAGACTGGCGAATTTTTTCAGTAATGTAAACACGGATAAACAATTTAACAATGATAATATTAAAGAGAAATAATAGATTGAAAGGCTTATTTTGAAAACTGTATTAGCATCATTTCTATATCAAAAGCAGTATTTTGTCTCTGAAAACCCTGAAATTTAATACAGGCTATTGATTATAATTTTGATAAACTCAGACATCCTTCCAGTCTGCACAGATACTTATTTAAAAAAAAAACACACATGCGAAGTGCCCATTGTAACATTAAAGAAATGAAACTCAATTATCATAAAACCGCAAGGCTTATATTTCAAAATTGAAAAAAAATCTATATTAATCGAGTATGTCTTTGTATTTATTGTTCAGATCTAAAGCAATGGACATGATGGGTTTCACTTCCCGGCGATCCATGCTAGAAAGGGAAAAGGCGGTAGATGGCGCTCGCAATCCAGGTGCCAGTAAATTCGGTCATTCATTAGCAGAAATCAACTCCAAAAAGGATAAATTACTTCTCCGTGAACTACGCAAAATTGAATGTGAAATTAAAAGCATGAGTCTACAAATGAATCAGCGAAAAAAGACATTTGTAAAGTCTTGTCATGTGCTAAATTACGATCCTATCATATTAGTAGAAAGACCACCTTCACCACAAATGAAGAAAAAGGCACTAGCAATGTCTATGGGATTAGATGAGGATGAGTATAATGAACACTTTGAAAACGAAAAGGTCCCACATTACATGCACCAGCTCAGATCAAAACAAAGGACTCCCTCTACCTTAAACACTATAGATGCATTTACTGTCACAAATAAGAAGAAAAAGAATATATGGGAAGATGCAGTAGACCAAAACGAAGCTCCCGTGTTCCATAGCACTGTCAGACCATGTTTACAGCTGACAAAACGAGAACAAACTGATCTACAGATGGGATGGGCATTACACAAACCACGACTAACTCCAGACAGCGAGGTTCAGAGGGAAGGGCTAGAGGACTACCGAAAATCGAAAACCCCGCCTCGTTCTATTACACCCAAATCACGTGTCTCTACTGCCGAAAATCAAGCCAATGCAAAATCTATTAAAGAAGTACGCGATGTTAATGCTACTAAAAATACTCAAGTAGATAGTGATGATGAATTCACACCATTTATTACTCAAATGGCAAAAGTCAGAAACCACAGTTCACGGGCTAAAGAGTCAGAAAATGTTCCAAAGGGGTACAAGCGTGACCCTATTGTCGTTACTATGAAATCAGTTCGATTTTCCTCCAGTATCCCAAATACACCTGTTCAAAAGAAACGTCCTAAATTAGCTGCCACAAAGATTGCATATTGATTTGTTAAACATATTTTGAAATAAAACAAATTTGTGCTGTACAGTTTGTCTCTATTTTTATTGGTCAGGATCTATTTATATGGACACTATGTTATCTGACCTTGTGTACAGGGTATACACTTGACGAATTTCATCTCAACAGATTGATTTTTCCTTGGGGGGAGTCCTACTATTGAGTACAAAATCCGTGGGAAAGGTTGGCTATGGGGGGGGGGGGGAGTCACTCAACACCGGTATTATATGTAGAGGTTTTAAGTGGAATTTGAGGTTCCACAGAGACAGGAAAATTATAACCGAGAAACTGTATTTTGTTAATTTATCTGACAGTCTCTTCAATCTTGTGATATAATTTACCGAGACTATAGCTTAAACATTAAGACAAAAGATATATACCTAAATATCATTCTGAACACTAGCCTAGGTGAAAGAAACAGTTTTCACATGTGTGAATGAAATAATTTGTTTCTGTTTTCTTTTTTTGTATGTATGTAGTGCACATCGCAAAAAGCATAATCTTATGCAAGTTTAGTCGGCCTACTATTACAAAGAAATGGACATGCTCCTAAAACTTTTATCTGTTATTTCATCATTCAGCAAAATAGACCTAATGCAGCATCAAAAGCAAGTAAGGTATTGTACATCCAAAGAAGCATGGTCCATGGAAGTTTGTTGAAGGAAGGGGTTATACTTTTTCCTTAATACAGGAGGCTACTTCAACTTTAATCTGGCCTCCCATCCAGATCATATAGATAAGATAAAACTGTAGAGCGAGCGAGCAAGTCTCACAGTATACATCCTTAAATGCACCATCTAAGCACGTTTGGTCAAGCTGGGGCATATACTACTGGTAACTTGGAAATGGGTCTGTTTTAGTAATTGAAACCTATTCACTCATTGGACTAATAAGGTCGATCTTTCTTCAGTGGTAAAGAGTGTTGTTGATTGGAACCTAATAAAACAATAAGCGAATTTCTTAACAGGAGAAACGGGCCGCCAGGATTATTCTCGATGCAAGTCCTGATTCTTCTTCTAAACCGTTGTTTGAGAAACTTGGCTGGCTGACAGTTTATGAGCTAGTTGATCTATACAAATACATTTTATTATTCAAAATATTCAGTGGTATGACTCCTGAATATCTTTGTGAGTTATTTGAATTTCACTCTTCAACTTCTTATAATCTGCGATCTGAATCAAACTACCATCTTAGATAACCAAAATTCTGTACAAACATATTTTAGACCTCTTTTCAGTACTCAGGTGTACATCTATGGAACAAACTACCACAACAAATCAGGCTTTCTCAGTCTCTACAAGCTTTTAAATGTAAGGTAGAAAATTACATTGTTAGCCGTCGAATAAATATCTGAGCAAATATTTCAATCTTTTTTTTCTTCATTTTACAATTTATATTTAAATACTTGTGTTTATGATTGTTTCTTATTCATATGTAATTATTATCGACAAAGACAAACTCTGTATTCATACTTCTGCGACTGTAATCATATGGACTGCAATATGTTAATTTGTATATTTGTATATATATAATTATATGTATTTTTACTTAATATCTAGAAGGCCCTGGGGAAGAATAGTGCATGTACTGACCAGGTTACCTTCTTTAAAGTATTATTATTATCATTATTAATAATAATATTATTATTATTATTTTAAGAGAAAATTTAATAGTACATGCTGCTTTGTAATTTGATTAATTACAGTGATGATAAAATTTTGCTTGAAAAGCTATTTGAATTTTAAGATGAAAAATTAATTTTTTTTTTCTTCTTACCCATCCACTGTTAAAAGCCTGTGGTAGAACAGGGCAAACAAACATACTTTTAATTTTGGTCATGAAGGGGTTAAAGTTTCATAAGGTAGATATGCTCCCAAAAAATTATCCCTGTCACTCATCCAGAAATACAGGTCAGATACAGCAAGTCATTTAGTTGCATCATCCTTACAAGTTTGGTCAAGATAGGGCTTAGAGTTACTTGGGAATATGATCCTGCTCCAAAATCTTAACTCAGTTGTTCAATGATAGGACAATGTAAGTCAAATGAAGCATCCGAGGTAATATGCATATTAAGATGCATCATTTATACAAGTTTTTCCAGGTCTTATAATTACTTGAAAATGGACCTGTTCCTAAAATGATGACGAAAGGGTTTATAACACAAGGTTATGAAGAAATGTTATAGAAATTTAGAAAACAGCTTACACTTAATGCCACTGAAAAAAAAATATGTTATAGAAATGTAAAACACTTCGTCCAGGCTTTATTACTACTAAAACATATATTTATCACGAGATTTTCTTTTCTGGACCGGTAACAGTCCGAATGAAAATAAACTAGTGAAATAAGAGAATGATGACATATTGCTATTTTAAGAACGTGTAACATGAAGTTCGGAAATGAAAGCTTGCACTTCATAAACATATATGAAATATTTTGAATATCATTTAGCCTCTCAGTACTCGTTGATGAAAAAGGGTGATGATAACGAACAGTGATCGATCTCATAAAAACCTACAAACAATATAAATCTGTAAACAGTGCATTAACACGGGCCCCTGGAAATTCCAAAGATGGGATAAGGTGCCTAAGAGGAGTAAACAGTCCCTGTTGACTGGACACATCCGCCGTATGTATTGATCAAGAAGACGGAATTCCGTAATCAAATTTAACATAAAAACAAATGTCTAACAATTGGTAGGAAACAAATCAGCCACATTCCGATCCAGTGATAGGTTATATTTGCTTATAAGGTCATGAAAACGACCATAGAGTTTACGGAATGCCTACTTTAAACGAGGTTGTTGAAATCCCGTAAACATCAACTTATGTGTGAGTAGCCTGCCTCGGTTTAAAACCTGATTGTACTCAGAGGATGCTCTTGAGTAGCGAATAAGTTGGGAGACATAAACACCATATGCAGGTGATAGCGGAAAATTACTACATAAATAAGGAATGTTGACGACGGAAAAGCTTAAGTCATCTCGTTTGTCATACAGTTTAGTTGTTAGTTGGCCTTTGTCGTCTATAGTCAGTAAAACATCCAAATATGAAGCAAATTTGGCAGACTCCGTGGTGCCTTTATTTCAAGTTCACTGAGACAAATCGAGTGACATTTAAATAAAAATAACTATTGTTAATTGATAAAACGTCGTCGGTATATTTGAACGTCGAGTTTAAGGTCATGGCAAGTGTTGTCTTCTTCTCAAGTAGAAGGTTTTGAATAAATTCTGCTTCATACGACTATAAAATCAATTATTGCCCATCGGAATTCCAACAGTTTGTTGGAAGACTTGGTCACCGCAGACTATATTAATGTTGTCAATGAGGAACCCCAGCATCTTTTCAATATAAACTTCAGAGTACTTGTGTGTAGAATCCGAGTGATTTTTAACGAAGTAATTTTGTTGATTACCAATCACAAGATGTGAAAATTTCCGAGTTTTGATTTTATTGAAGAAGCAGTTATGTATGATATCAAAAAGCCTATTTTTTTAATTTATTGTTAGGAATGGTTGTATAAAGTGTAGAAAAGTCGAAGGCTTTAATGTTGTAGACTTTTGAAAAAAAATAATTGTGAATTCAGATTTTCTAGAAGTTCCTTAGAGTTTCTGAGGATCCACATCTGATTTACTTCTAGAGTATGTTGTGGCACAGTACGTCTGAAGTTTCCCCTTAATTAACAGCATTTAATATTTTGGTAAGAAGTAATGAAAGGGGCTTAGTAGAACATTTGCTGGGCCCAGCAATATATCTGTTTGTAAGATTTTCCTGAAGTTTAGGAATCCAGTATAGATAGGGTAGATCGAACTCACCTTGGTTGACTGAAATGTTAAAAGTATGAAACACTGAAATGCGATTTTGAAGAATTTTACCTTTGAAAAGTGAACTGCGAATGGATGACGTAGGAAGAAAACGAAAAGTAATCAAGCTCAAAAGTCCATTAAAACATCACAACTTTGGAGCAGAGCAAACACAGACCTCTAAAAACAAAAAAAATTCAGAGGTACGATCAGGTGCCATGGAGGAGTAAGCATCCCCTGTCGACCGGTCACACCCGTCGTGTGCTCTTTGACATGATCTTGAAAATCCATTGACAACTCAGTGTGAAAATAATGGCCTACCAATTTGTATGAAAAACCTCAGTCAATATTCCACTTAATGATAGACTGTATTTGCTGACAAGGTCATTGTATCGACCATAGAATTTACAAAATGTTGACTTTAAACGAGACTGTTGATATTTTTGTTTTATCAGTTTATTTGCCAATAGCCTCATGTAATAAATTGTTCGTAAGTAGAGCATGCTCTTGCGTATCGAAACAACTGAGAGACATAAACTCCATATGCAGGTGATAATGGTATATTGCTACATAAGTAAGGGAAGTTGACGATTGAAAAATTGAAGTAATCGCGTGTATCATAAAGCTTTGTTCTTAGGTAACCATTATAACGTCTTTTACTAGTAAAAAACAAATATGAAACAGTTGTGTTAGACTCTGTGGTAGCCTTTATTCCAAGTTCAAAGGGATATATCGAATCAACGTAGGAATGAAAATAATATTGTTAATTGATAAAACGTCGACGATATACACGTATCTAAATGTTGAATGGAAAGCCACAGCAAGAGACTTCTTTTCATGTAGAAGTTTCTGAATAAATTCTGCTTCATACAGTGTATGAATACAAAAATAGGTCTGGATAAAATGGCTAGACTTCTTTTTTTTTTTAAATTTTGCTATAATTGTAAAGAGCATTTTAATCTGTTATTTTAGACTAAGAATATCTCTTACAAGGAAAACTGTTAGAAAGTCAAACATTTTTGTCACTTCATCTGTTCATAGCTATGGTCTGCAGGGATGTGACTCTCAGGCCACAGCAATTAGGAACAGAATTTTACCAGTGTTAAAGTGCTTTCTACAAACAAAAAATTGTCTTCAGTGGAACCTTAAGACATAACTTTAATTTAGGCGAGCTGCAATCCATGCCTTTTTAAAAAATTAAAAAATAGGCCTTTGATGCGAGAGGGTAATTTTGTATGTCAACAAGTCAGAGTTCGACCTCTTTCTTTAATTATGGATACGAAGTATTGGGGATCAAAAGGGATTTAGCTCATGTGCTTTCAAATACCCTAAACATTTCCATGTGTATTTTCTGGATGTAATTTTTTTTTTTTTTTAATGAATATATAGAATATATCGTAATGTTTCGCTACATTTATAAGAAATTTAAGTCAGTACAAATTACGGTTACTTAGTCATTCATGGACTTTTAGAGAATTATTTTGATCTCGATTATCTCTGCATAAGTTATTTTGTTATTGTAGACTAGATTTGAAGTATTTCAATTATAGTGACTCAGTGACGACAATATGTTTCATGAATTGTCTAAAGGCATTGCTTGACCTCCATACTTACCGTTAGCGTCCCGTGAGTTGTCGCTCTTTGTATTGGATTTGTTAACCCCCTACTAGCTCTAGTTACCGGTATATACCACGGTAGGTTGAGTTGTCATATTTTCTAAATTATATATATCAAAATAAAGCAACTAATTGAATATTATAACATGACTTATTGTTTCAAAACAGCAATTCAGCTTTAAAAAATGTTTCGTAACACGATTTATAAATTATATTGGATTCAACGTCGAAGTAATGAGGTTACACTAATCACAGAAAAAAACGTTTTTGATACCTTTAAGATGTACTAGTTTTTCACTATGTTCGATTTCACCTAGATTTACCAAAAATCATTAATATACTTCACTATGACTTTATGAATATGATTATACCTGTTATCGTTTTACATAGTCTAGAATGGACAACGCCAAACCGGGGGATCTAAAGATTGAAAAATGGAACCAAGAAAAGGATGGCGATTTAACGCAATCTAACATGGAACAGAAGCTCCGAAAACAAGGTTACAAATTTGTAAGATATGATTTTCCACCAGGAATAAATTTTCCTGATCACACACATGGCGTTTCAAAGAAAGATGCAATTCTTAAAGGAAAAATGAAGTTTTCCATGTATGGACAAACTGTTATTCTAGGCCCTGGTGACATGATTCAGGTGCCAAAGGACAGAATACATAACGCCTCTGTAGTGGGGAATGATTTTCTTGTGTTTTATGATGCTACTATAGACCCTAATGCCGAAATCACGAAAGAAGAACTAGAACCTTGAAATTCAATTTATACTACGATACGCTCTGATATTCAGTGTAAATGTGACTATTAATTCACAGTCTGACTTTTGTTTCCTGTTTTCTTTCAATTATACTGAAGTATGACCGTTCATAAAAATCACTGCGATAATAAAAACTTTTGTTTTGTTTGGTTTATTATTTGCACTCTTTCCCAAGAAAGATTTGGTTCCTGCCATAACTTACTATTTCTCCTTTTCCGTCCTTCAGTCTCAATGTGATTTTTTTTTCATTTTTGCTCTAGGGTTCCAATGGGCTCAGGAGGGTTTCTTCTGCAAGTTTGTCGTTGAATCTCCTTGTGCACTCAAGGGTTTAAGAATTTAAGAACATGTATGTGTACAATAATGAGTTGGATGCTACAGCCAGATTATCACATTTCCAAGTAGAATTCAATGCACAATAAAAACAGTATCTTGACCAACCGTGTATGGATTAAGTCACATAACGACGTTGCATGCTAGAAATCATATTTCCATTGATGCTTTGAATGCTGCATATGACCGATTATTTAATATGAAGAAACGCTGAAGCAGGTCAATATATCCAACTCGGTACAATACAACTTGCATAAACTATAGATACGAGCATTCATGCTTAGAATATGAACAGCCTTTTCAGGGAAGCGAAGAAAGCTTTCTGAACAGTTTGATTCATATACTAGTATGTATTTGTCAAGTACTAAACAGTTATACATTATCGAAGTTGGAATATGTATTAATATTTGATTTTCCTTTTACCAAGTGAATCTCATGCATAGGAGTTTAAGAAATCGTACTGGATTCTTACAATTTTCCCTGATTGATTATTAATACGGTTTATACCAGTTTTCCAGATCAATTTGCATGGTAATGCAAAAGAATCTGAAGGTCACTTAATTAACTAATTAAAAAAAACACGTTGTGCATTTTACATTTCTTACCTTAAAGGTAGAAGTAAATATTTGCATCTCCATCATGTTTAATGCTTAATTAATACATCCAAAACAGGTTATTTGAAATAATATAACAATGCAGGTTACTTAAATGAAATAAATATCCAACATGAGTACAGTTGTATATGAGTGTAAGTAAATGAAAGTTTACAGTTAATTAATGTTTTAATCTGAAAGGACTGCTGTATCATATATTTGATTCACTAAGTAGTACACCTGTGGTACAGGTGAAAAATATTAAATTTTTGTGTTCAAAGACCCACCGGGTTTTTTTTCTGGTGCGGCCGACCGTGTGTTTCTGACGATGTCCCTGAATGTGGCGTGTCCCTTTATCTAAATCCATTAACATGTCCGTATATTTGATTAAACCCCGCTTTTGTTAAACAACGTTACATGGCAGCCTACTTTCTAAGTTGTCTTTATATTGATTTAATAGTGGACACATAACCTTGACCTAGCCTAGCCAGGAATTTAAAATTATGGACTATTCGACACTTTACCTCTTTTGTCTCAGTTTAAGTAGAAATGGATTTGGACAATGCATCGGTAAGTCCTTTATTTTTGCTTTCGTAATATACCAATTACAAGACTGTTCAAAAATAAAATAAACGGATCATCTAGTTCATGGGACCTTCGAGTAAAACAGCTGTAAAACATCTTCCATAGGCAGACATGATTCACAGTGAATAGATATGTACAACGACAGTGTCAACTTGCTATAAAATTTGTTCAGCGTATATATTTAAGGGAAAGCTCATCTCGTAGTGATGTTAGTTACGGCATGAATGAACATGCATGTATAGTAAAAGATTCCATGATATTAAAAATAATTGGTGATGTTTCTAGAGCTTAAACCATATATATATATATATATATATATATATATATATATATATATATATATATATATATATATATATATATATATATATATATATATATATATATAAGTATATAATACTGTAAGGGATAAGCCTCTTTGCTCAATTTACAACCTGAATGTTAACGTCATTTTATATTGTGGCTTTAAAAATTCTGATATATATTTTGTCAATGTAACATTACTAAGTAAATTCTGATTCCTACTTGCAGGGAATAACAACAATCTAATATAACAAATTCCTTTGCACTTTGTTATTATGACAACAACATAAGATTTTTGCCATGATGGGATTTCTAGAGGGACCACAGAAACGGAGTAAATCATGAATCTTTTGGGAACTGCTGGAGCCATCTTTCTGGTCATTCTTAACATAGTGGTTATTGTAAGTGACAGAAGAAAATGTAGTTTTTAAAAATGTACAGTTGTCTTAGTAAACAAATAGAACTACTAAAAATGAAATTAATTTTAATGAAATAACATTCTTTGCATAACGCCATTCAATTACATGTATTTTGTAGACTTTAATTCTACCTAAATTGCTTTCATGTTTTGCAAAATAGATTTTGGGTCTAGGACTAATAATCATCGGAGCCTTGATTTACAAAGAGTCTGGTCTAGTTAATGATGATATATCGCCTGTTTTGAACGCCATAACTGGTGGAGATTTTACCTTATCTGACCTCATCAAAATCATCGCTATTGCCATCATTGTCATCGGAGTGTTTACTTTTCTGGTTTCGGCCGCTGGTATCGTCGGAACATGCGGAAAATTCCGGCCAATACTTGTAACTGTACGTTGATTTTCAGATTAAAGCCATTTTCAGACATATCAGACGCTTAATTATATATTAAAGGATTAAACGTCTGTTAAAGTGCCGTATTTAAAAAAAAATCAATCCTCTTTAGCAAGATTCTCCACTGTCAAATGATTTTTTTTTCCATAAAATTTAAAAAATATATATGTAAATTGATTAACAAGAGATTTTACTTTATAAACATTATAAATATATTGTAACATTAGCTATGCGTGCATATATATTTTTGATGATTTAGAGAAAAGTTTTGGTTGCATTATTTTCTTTACTTACATAAATAAATATTGAAATATTATCTAAAATCCTAGTTAAGCTACTACTAAGCATAGGGACAAATGATAGAATTTGCGTGAACGCATTCAGGAACCATGGTAAATTATATCTTATTTCAGTAATCATAAAACTGGTTGAGCAATATAATATTTTATTTCAGTATGGAGTTATAGTGTTCTTGTGTGGAATAGGGGAAATCTGGGTTCTTGCTGAGGTGGCAAAGTTGAAAAACAAAGCAAGTATTTTGTATTCATATCGAGCTTCTAAAATCATTTTGATGGAGTCGGCCAAATTATACCTTTTTGTATTCATTTGGTTGTAGAGTGTAACTAAATGTATTATTTCTCACCTTTATACAGCTCAACGATACTATCAAAGAAGAATTACTAAATGTGCTATCTTATTACAAAGGCTACAATTTAGACATCATCTCCATCGCATGGAACCTCATATTTTACCTGGTAGAAAACAACTCTTAATTTTGCAACCCGGCATCTTTTTTTTCTGTGTAGACTTCATTTGTGATAAATGAAAACGAAAAGTAATTTCATTTTATTACGATTAAAATGTATGTGTTCTAAATACATATTTTAATACAAAAAAAATAAAAGCAAGTTTCCAAGTTAATATTCCTTTTCATATTGAAAGATGAGAAATTGTATTATCCACACCTTTTACTACTAAAATATATATTTCTTTAAGTAGTTTTGTTATCTGTGTACATCATCTGTACCTTTTCGTTACATTCTAAGCACTGATTAATTCTTTCTTTGCTTTGTAGTTTGAGTGTTGTGGAGTGAATAAACAGTCTAGAGTGGATGACTTTCAATCAACAGCATGGTCTAGAGGAAGTGACGTCATTCCTGGATATTGTTGTAGGGAAGCAACCCTTCTCACGGCAGCTAATTTGAATGGAACTGCATGTACAACAAATCCTACAGCTCAGAATGCTTACGTTGAGTCTGTAAGAAGATGTATTATCTTTTCTCTTTTCAAATTGGTAATTTGTTTTTGAAATGGGCATTTTCTCTTTTTATAAATATATTTTCTAATCTTTTCATAATCTTTTTGAATAAATAGAAAAAACTTCATGATTTAGGGATAGAAAAAAGTGAATGAATAAATTTTTAATTATACTAGAAATTGGAAATGTACATGTCTCCCTGTTGTCAGTGTGCTTGCCTCCCTGTTGTCACTGTGTTTGTCTCCCTGTTGTCAGTGTGCATGTCTCCCTGTTGTCAGTGTGCCTGTCTCCCTGTTGTCAGTGTGCGTGTCTCCCTGTGCGCGTCTCCCTGTTGTCAGTGTGCGTATCTCCCTGTTGTCAGTATGTGTCTCCCTGTTATCAGTGTGCGTGTCTCCCTGTGTGTGTCTCCCTATTGTCAGTGTGCATGTCTCCTTGTTGCCAGTGTGCGCGTCTCCCTGTTGTCAGTGTGCGTATCTCCCTGTTGTCAGTATGTGTCTCCCTGTTATCAGTGTGCGTGTCTCCCTGTGTGTGTCTCCCTATTGTCAGTGTGCATGTCTCCTTGTTGCCAGTGTGCGTGTCTCCTTGTTGTCAGTGTGCGTGTCTGTCTTTCCTGCTGCAAAAGGATTCTTCAAAATATTTCACATCCTACAGTTTTCGTCCATTTACAAAGAAACTTAGTACAAAAGTAGATCTGATGACATTAAGAAATGCATTCCTCTGAATAGTGTTGCGATGGTTAATAAACTAGGGAAAATAATTAATTCCTTCAGAATGTTAATTCTCCTACGATTTTGGTCTGATTTCAATAATTATAGCACTTGGTGCAAAAGTACATCTTTATAGTTCACAATTACCTGTGTTCAATGTTTAATATCGATTTCTATTTTCTTTAAAATGTTGCTATGGTTACTTAAAATAGAATAATCTGTTTAATACCTTTTGAATACCTCCTACTCCTCCTACTTTTAGCAAGCTCCAGACAGCTCAGTATTACGTTACGCTACAACTCCGTATCATCGCATTATTCGTAGGGAAAGTAGTCCCATAGGCACTTGGGGTATGGACCCCCCCCCCTTTCCATTTTTTTTTTCTTTTTAAATCTGGGGTCGAGTCACCTTTTTCCTATTTTTGTATTCTAATATGCACTGTATGTTATCAATAATGTAACTCTTTTGTCTCTATATGCTGTTTTTAAATATATCGTTTTCGATTGATACATAAAAAGAGAGAAGGCTTGCAACTCTTTTCTCATCGTCTGCCTCACCTCGCTTAAACTTCGCCTGATTATTTATCGAAGAATAAGAAAACATGGAATATGCATACATCAATAAATTCGTTATACATTCTTCTTCCTTTTCATATTTCCATTCAATTTTTATGTGCCCCCGATTTGTAAATATTTCGATTAAATCAACCGCATCTAGGGTAAATTTTGGTGATGTGCACCAGCTGGGACGGAAGTGCCCGGTATTTTCGGATATCATCATTATGTGTAATGTCATTCGGAACATTAAATGCGAGAAGGAATAAATCCCGAATTTTCTCTTCATATAACATGTAACGGTAAGTTCTGTGAATAACAAGATAACTTTAACTAGCAAATTCTAATGGATGAATATTAACTTTTAACAGACGACCTAGACAACCAAATTTCACAATATTGTTATTGCAAAGCCTTGAATTTTTTTTTTTAATGCAGAACATTTATAAAGTTAGAGTTACCGTTATTGCACTTCCGTCCCAGCTGGTGCACATCACCAAAATTTACCCTAGATGCGGTTGATTTAATCGAAATATTTACAAATCGGGGGCACATAAAAATTGAATGGAAATATGAAAAGGAAGAAGAATGTATAACGAATTTATTGATGTATGCATATTCCATGTTTTCTTATTCTTTCGATAAATAATCAGGCGAAGTTTAAGCGAGGTGAGGCAGACGATGAGAAAAGAGTTGCAAGCCTTCTCTCTTTTTATGTATCAGTCGAAAACGATATATTTAAAAACAGCATATAGAGACAAAAGAGTTACATTATTGATAACATACAGTGCATATTAGAATACAAAAATAGGAAAAAGGTGACTCGACCCCAGATTTAAAAAGAAAAAAAAATGGAAAGGGGGGGGGGGGTCCATACCCCAAGTGCCTGTGAGTAGTCCCGGAGAATAGACACTGTATGGAGTTTGACTTTTAGCTACACATAATATAATTATTATCTTTATTGAGTTTTATTGCAATGAACTGTGTATCTTTCACTACGGATTGGAAAAATTCTCAAAATCCTAAAATTACTTTTTTTTCTTTGAAATGTTGGACCTCTCTGTCTAATTTTACGCAGAGAGATGAAATACCCCTGGTACTTGACAGAGAAGTAATTTATTCCAAGTGCATCATCTGACTAAGTTCATGATTATAGTAGTTTATTTTGAAGTCAAACCTGTAAGAGCTACAGACTCTTCAGAGAGTATGCATAATTTAAAATTCACCATTTTAGGGTTGTTACGACTTTCTCAATGACAGACTTACAGGCTACAGTGATGGGGTGATATCTGTAGCCACGTTTATCTTGGTCACAGAGGTATGTCTTTTCTATGTAGTCTAAAGTACCTGTTAAGCTGTCCTTAAAATGACTGGAAAATTGCTCCGACAAGCCTTAAAGTTTTACATAATTTAATATATCAAAAAATATGTACTTTCAGGTGATGGCAATTATTGCTTCCCTTATTTTGTTTTGGCAAATAACTGTGGATGTGGACCGAAAACGGGGAGTTGAAAGATCAAGAAGAGTCGCAGATATTTCACTCAGCCAGAGAGCATACCAGATTGGCAGCCAATCAGGACAGGGCACAAATACAGTCATTGTTTGAATGTCCCAGAAAGTGATTTTCTTTAATTTCTATCTATGCATAGATTGTTATGCTGCTTATGGATGAACATTGCAGAGATAAGTAAAGAAAATATTTTAATAAACTTATATCAAGGACATTACAAAGAAAATTAAGATATCTCTCGGCAGTAATGGGTACCGTGACGTCATAGCATGGAGGTGATGACATGAACAAACAACAAGACGTCTCTGTGGTGATGTTATCAGTAGGAACCGCAGCTGTTAGCATCATCAGTAAATAAGGGCATGCTGTTTTAAAATCAGTGATTTTTCTTCGATTATTAAAATCTTTGTTTTAGTTTTTATCGTAATTGGACAATTTTTCATCTTAATGAAAATCAATGTCATATATCTTTGAGGATTTTACACCCATCCAGAAAGATGAAGTTTGTATCATGAGTAAATGTTGAATCATTTAGTGGTTAACATACACTTTTCCTTAATTATATCATGAGTAGATTTTATATGAAGAACAAGATGGTGTTTAACTTTTATGATATCTGTGATAAAGAACTGTAGTCCTTTTTAAAAAAAATCTTGCAATTAAGGGGAAAAAAAATCAACTCTAATGTCTCTGATGTGAAATAAAAAAAAAGATTCATTACATATCGTATAAAGGCCTATTAGAAATATAAAATGTTTGGTGACATACTAAAGCTTACATACTCTTTAGAGAATTGGATTTTTTTCCTTTTCTATAGTAGTAAGATATTTTGTGAAAAGGTGCTCTGAAAACAATGTGCAATGAGATTTGGAGTACTGTACCAAACTGTACAATACTTTTGATTATGTGATGAGATGAAATTTCAATATACATGTGTATTTAAAAACATAAGTTTGTTTGGTAATTCACTGAAAATTATGTCTTTCAGTTGAATGTTTTATTTACATTTTTGAACAAATCTTTCAGATAAACTTTATCATCACTTTTCTTTTGATTTATTTCTATACATGTACATAGATTCGCATTATTTAGATTAGTGTATATATATTTTAAAGACTTTCTGTATCTCTAAATCAATATTGGTGGTCAAAGAGAGGAAGCATTTATTAGAGTTTGTTTCCAATCCCTTTGCAGTTTTTATACACGGTGATTTAACAGCTATATGTCGTACATTCAGTGCGATATAAGTCAGGTATTTTGGGTGTTTGGGGATGTAAAGTTGAACAGGGTTCAGAATAATAATAGTTTTCGTGTCGCATGTTTTTCAGTCATGATTCTAAAAACCAGGCGACTGATCTATATGTCTACTGAAATTGTACCGTTTCTCTCGCCGTGTGGTCGGAATGACTGGCAGGTAAAATACATGGTCTAACCCTCACCATATAAATTATGCACATGCGCTTCGTAAAATGTTTCTTTTGTAATAGTCTTATCAATGCCGAATGCTTGTCGAACTAAAAATTCCGCCTAATGATTGACACTGTATAAACTCGATCGAATGAAATTGTGCAATAAAGGGGGTTAAAACTGACAAGTTCTGCAAATATTTACTCAGTTCGAGCTTAACATAGTTTTGTTTTACGATCGCTGATGGTTTTATCAACCTTAATTAATCAATCATGCAGGCACATGTTCAACGTTTCCAACAGGGCGCTTAATTAGTGAGTGTAATATTTAATAATGGTTTCAAATCTCACTCCTTTTAGCTCAACTGAAACAAAAGTTTATATGAAAATTTCTGATCGGAGTTGTCCATCGTTTGTCTGTCTGTCGTCTTTTAATTTATTTTATTTTATTTTTTACTTCTCCAAAACCACTCAACTTCTATCAAACTTGCTACAAAGCATCTTTAATTGACAGGAATTCAGGTTTGTTCAAATAAAGGACCAAATCCCCTTCCAAAGAGATATGGAGTCATGAGTTTTAATCTGATGACGACAATATCTTCAAATATAGAGAAGAGAAGGGTTATTCAGATGAGAATTGTTGCCTTTGAGGCTCTTGTTTGGAAATGAAGTAATTGCTACTGTCATATTCTAAGAAGCAACTTCAAATTTATGTAAAAATTTCTAAATTGCAGCGAAAAATATATTTTAAAAAAAGAAATTGCAGACGGATACAAGTTTATATATTACATTTATTTGTCAACTTTATAATACAAAGTATTTAAAGTACAAAAATATTGTGTATAATGTAAATACATAATTCAAAATACACAGTTTGTATAAAAGTATGAAAAATTGCATACAAGTCCCTGCCAATTATAACATGTTCAAAAATGTTCAAACAAAATTGAAGAATATTATATCACGCTGTTCTGTCGCGTTTTTTCTCATTGACTTCATATTCGACATCATTTTTCAGCTGACCCAGAATTCCAAATGCTGCAATGACTGCGATGATCTGTAAGTAAATACAGAGTCACGTTAGTCCACTGCAAAGCACATGGAAAGCGTGTTAAAAAAAACCTGGTTGTCAATTTTATTTTTTTTCCCACTGAAATCCGTGAAAAGAAGTCAACAACTGCTGCAGCGTTCTCTGAATTACACTTATACGACTGGGACTAAAGCAACTACTTCGCATAGCACAAGAAAAAGAAAATTCCATTCATACATACATACGTTTTCAAAATTTGAAAATACATTTTTGTCTGGCGGTTAAATTCTCACACACTATATTTACATATATTATGTCTGTTGCACGAGATCGGGTTGGCCTCTTGTCTCATTTATAAACATCTGAGACAGATAGATTTACACTCAAAGGCTTAACCCGTAAAACTAAATCTTTGAAATACAAACTTTGGTTTGAATTAAATTCAATCTGTTTAAATTGTAAAATGCAGTGCATATAGTGAATTAAGGTATTTATTCCTTCTTCCAGACTACGACTCTACTTCTTTTTGCAACTGACGAGCCATCAAGAACGCAAAAGCAACGGCGATGATCTGTAGGAATATAATTACATTAATCAGTAATTGCTGCTTATGTATATATTTTTCATTTTGAACTAGAATATCAATAGTCGCTCGATTGCAATTTCGTAATTCTCTCTTTGACTAACTTTTTTTTTTCAAAATGAGCGCTTCAAAATAGAATCTAACTTACCTCGATAATCACAAGCACGACTCCAGTAGCAATGAATGTACTGCTGTATGGGTTCATAATGTTAGACATCTCATTGTAGCAACCCTAAAAAAAGAATTTTGAAATAAAATTGATTATTTATGCCTAAATAAAATGTCTAAAATTAGTGATACTTGATCAGCAAAATATTTAGCCCAAGGACTGGCAAATACAAGTAATAAACATGGATGACTGGACCCGACATATTTCCTTACCCTGTCGATATAAGCGGTCACTGTTGACGGATTGATGGTACAGATTTGATTGATGTTGAAATCGGCAGTATTTGGATCCGCTCCCACACAGCAATGACCTGGTATGATAGATTGTCCTCTGAGAGGATTTAGCCACCAGATGCTGCTTACAAAATCGTTTCCTAGAATGACTGGATTTACTCCGCAGCAATGGAACTGTGTAAAAGTGAAGCAAAAGGTGTTAATAGAATAAAAGGTTCATAGAACAAAATGTGGAGAGATAATGTACATTTATATAAAATTAATATCGAACTTAGAAACTGTCTTTAGCTTGATTCCAAACTAACATTTTATTTATCAAATTAATGCAAGAAAATATCTTTTTACCTTTTTTATTTTTTTGATATACACTCAATCAATAAATATATTTTAAGGAGCGTTCTAGGCACTTTTCTTCTACTAAACTTACAGTCAAGAACAGAAAGTTCCAGGCCCGAGTTAGCTGGTTTGCGGCATTTCCGTCGTATCTCTGGATCAAATTCAGCATCTGGTCTTTGATGGAGGCAACCATCTAAAGTAAGAAATATAGGAGTAAGAATGGCTGCTTCATTTTTGTAAAAGCTTTTTTCCCTTTTATATAAAGCATTCCTAGAAAGTTCCAAAAATAGAAAATTATAATTTCTGATACCTCGTGTTTGAAAGTGAACCATCCTCCCAAAGCAACAAATTCCAGCAGCAAAATAATTATGATGATTGCTCCGTACTGAAAATAATAATATACTACATGTATATTACTTGAATATGAAATAATATATTTTCTCATTGAAGCGGATGATGTCATTTTAATTTTAAATGCTTTGGAAAGCATTACTTAGTACTTCATTAAAAAAAAAACATTTTATTAAAAACTGGCTTTTTGAGCAAATATGCACTAACATTTCTTACTTTTCGAACACATGAATACCAACAACGCACGATTTTACGACTCTGCAGCAGTTGATAAACCGTATGCGTGCACTTACAATTATTAGTAGAAGTCTCATCCGTGTTATTGCACCAGCTATTCCAATGATAGCCACAACCACGGCAAAGAGTCCAAGAGAAACTCCGAATCCAGCAAGAGCCTTTACAAGACTTCCCATTTTAAATGATCCGATGGAAATATTTTCCAGCAAAGGCATATATTGTGCTGCATATGCTCCACCTTTTTCATTCATGATCGCTCCACCAATTAGCAGTGCAATTCCAGCGATCTATAGTTAAAATTGACAATGTAACATTCATATTAATACTCAATATTACATTCATTTAAGCATTTTTATTTCTTTAGTATCACTTTAAATCATTAACCATTCATCAAAATAATTATTTCGTATGCAAAGGAGAATAAAACACTTACCATAAAGAAAATATTAATAACAACAAGAAAAACCATCCCAACACGTCCTAAAAGATTCATTTTGTTTCTTCTGGCTTTGTCCAGGTCAATATAGCAAACTTTCAAATCACCGTCCCAAACACTAACACAAGAGAGAGCAGCAATACCAGAACGGGACTTCAGATTTACAATTTGCCTCCGATTAAGAAAACACTAGCTTTCGAAAACGCCCAACCTTTCGTCTTGAGGTCGACTGACCTTCTGGTGAAAATAACGGACAATCTTTCATTTTAAAATGGATGGTGTATACTTGGATGATGAATCAAAACGGTTGCTCATTAATTAGATATGGAATTACTACGCTAAAAAATGTGTCAGTCTGCATTCAGTTGTCGATGATGCTTCAAACTGCCTGTTTAATCATGCGTAACCGTTAATGAATTACATTCTAGAGTAAATATTACGTCGTATGTTATAATATCACTTGTATAGATATCACAAGGAAAATATTTACAAGTATGTCGTAAGTATTACAAACTGTATGGAACCATGATAAACTATGATTAATGAAAAAAAAATGTGTCAACCACTAGAAATAACAAACTTTCAGATTTTGAGAAATCCCTTAGAAAATGGTGATTTCTTGCTAAATTCAGCAATCCAGGATTAAAGAAATAAATGTTGTCCCTTATTTTGGTGGATTTGCTCATAAACTTACTCTAATACTTCACGGTAAAAGACCTTGCAATATTTTTCCCACATAAAGATACAGGTATCTTTGAGTTATCTATGAGTCCATTTACAACGTTGTGTGTAACTTTTAAAATGCATAATTTACATTTTTTGCTCTGTGCAACTTAATGGCGAAAATTATTTTTAAAAAATGTGTAGGTAATATAATTTGAAGATACATTAAATATTATGCAACAGGCCCGTAGGAAGCAATTTCAGTTTGGGGAGGGGGGGGGGGCACAGCTAAACATTTTCAGTTGAGGGGGGCACTATCAGCAAAAAAAAAGGGGGGGGCATCAGCCGTTTTTATTGAGGGGGCACAAGCATATAGTAGCTACGTTTTCTATAGTATTCTATATATTGGCAAAATTATTGGGGGGGGGGGCACGCCCCCCCCCCGTGCCCCCCCCCCCCCCGGTTCCTACGGCCATGTGCAAAATCTTAGAAGTTAGGTCTGTATAGAAACTGCTATTATATTCAATTCAGAAACAGCGTTTCACTTGATTGGTAAATGTAATGTTCCATGAATGATGTTGATGTTTCACGATTCACTGTGTATTTTAATATGAGGTGTCAATTTACAAGAAAAAGATGCTTATAAGATTAAAACACTTTTTGAAGATAAAATTACCGTATAATATATCGTTCAATGTTGTTTACGGTTTGTTTAAGATACCTTACAAATACTGGTGACAAATTCGTTGTCAACATTGCAGCCTTGGGCAATATTTATAAGCTTATCAATATTGATTTATTGATAATTATAAAGTTTTCTGCAAATTCAGTACATGTACAATGTAATTGCAAATGAAGTTTAATGTATATTTTCGTTTCGTCTTTTTACTGAATTTATTCTCATTTTCATCAGAAATGAAAATGTTAAGGTTGCAATGACGAAAAAGTAAATATTGGCAATATATGTACATAAATCATCTGGTACAAATATTTTTAACATTTCTATATTTATATCAGATATGATTTTGGTTAATTTCAGATGTGTACCCGCTGGAACCCTACAAACATACGTTTAGTATCTGTTAAAACGCTGTTGACTGTTTGTACAGTGACCTTGTCTTTTTTATAACATTGAAATATCTCTTTTACATATTTCACGAATTTTTATCATACTAAGTCATTGTCTTTAAAGGCCTACATTATAAATCAAATAATTACGTAACACGTTATCGTACCAGCATGCAATAAAGTCGTTTATAACCCAACTCGTATCTTTTTAAGTCCGTAATCGTTTATCAGTTTTCAATTCTTTTTCTCCTAAGTCTGCGTATGCGAACCTTTCTTGGGTGAAAGGTGGGGAGATTTAAAAGGATAGATTGTAAATATTTTTGAAATATATCTAAACAATAATTATATTCTCTTAAAGAAATGATAGTCTCTTAATGCTCTTTCTTTTATCATCAAAAATAATATTTATGAAAATACGTTCAATTTTTAACAACCAAACCTCCCAATATGAATAGTCAATATATCTTCATAATTTTAAGCGGCAGTAGGATTTTTTAATTAACATGAACACTAACATTATCACCTAAATCTGAAAGTTTCAATACATGTATGTGATGGGGGTGATTTTATCTTCTTTTTCAAAAGAGGAGGAAGCGTATTACTCAAAGTCCTCCAACGTTCTCCGAGATACCAACGTATTGGTCCGAGATAAATTCATAAAAATCGACAATTTTATCAGTGCAACCAAACACTGCGACAAATCGATGGCCAATCCAGGGTAGAAGCAAAATAAAGGGTCCAAATGTCAGTTTTTACGTTTCCATTTAATGGTAAATCTTATCTTATCAACGTTTGGATAGCCCGTATACGGTGAGCCATAGGAAGGAATAGGTTTATCATAGGAAAGTGTTGACTACAGGTCTGTTTCTGGAAATACGAATGAAGCTTTCCATTTGATTTATTTCTATGTAGTATATACACAAAGATTGTCAATTTAAGAAATGCTCGTTTATTTTTAAAAAAAAGGGTTCGGCGAAAAAAAGTTGATGTTTAAAACACAGTCAATTTGAGATTAGAATTTTCTGGTTATTTATTGATACTTCAAATTTTGTACTGAAGGATATTATTTGCATTTTGAAGATGGGGAGCACGGGAGCATGTTGTGCCAAACTTATCCTTGGTATACTGAATACTCTGTTTCTGGTGAGTATTTGTGTTACTAGAATTGCTCAAAAATAAATAAATAAATAAATAAATAATAAACCTCTGCGTTAAATGGATACAGTATATATAAGGAGACGCTAGACATATGCTGGATGCAATATTCAGTATTTGCGCAAAAAATACAGTTAAAACACTTACCAATTTTGTCATTTAAAAATAACTTAATGCAGTATACTAGTAAATAAATTACATAGGCATTTGATTTTAATTTGTTCCTCCGAGGAAATTGTTCTTCTCGTACACCAAAGTTTATCTCTATTATAAGTTCCTTAAGGTTTCTTGCACATTAAAAAAGACTATTGTTATTTTTGCGAAATTACCTCCTTTTCTCCCTGATGGTGGATGGGTCTAGATTTGTTGTTTTTTCTGCATAGAAACAAAAACAGAAAAATTAAATTAAAAAAAGATACCAAAGTCGAGAGAATGCTAGACGTAGTAATCCATTAGAGCAAATTTAACCTTAGAGTGGCTTTGGAAAAACTTTGATATTTTGAACATTAATCAATCGGTGTGATAAAAAGTTTTTGAACCAAATTCCTGTTTCTCAGAGTTTAAAGACTATATGGTCCTACTCAAATTCAACCTTAGAAATGTTGGTTTGCTTAAGATATAACGAGTGTTTTGTTTCGAAATTGCGATAGTTCGAAAAGGTAACAGTATTGTAGGAAGTGTAAAGGTTGTTTTATGGAAAGGACTTGAGTGTTTAAGGTATATTTTTAAGGAAAATATGGACGCTTAAGAGAAAGTATAAGTAATTAATGTTATTTTTTTAATTCAGGAAATCTTTTCGAACATTTTAGAATGTTTTTGTTAGAATTGGAACAGCCGAAAAATTGTTGGAACGACGTTAAATGCCTCGCCCTGTGCATCGAATGTTCCAATGAGGAACGCATATACTCAAATCCTTATTACATAATTGTTTTATGTTATCAAAAATATTTTTGCCGTGCATAAAGACATAGAGGTGAAAACATAGAAAAATAGATTTTCCCCTTTTATATCTGTCTAATGAAAAAAACAGAATTAAGTCTGATTATGAATCAAACATTATTAGATAGCAACAAGTATATGTCACACGAAAATCAATGAAAATATTATTTATATCAGAAGACAACACAGTACACCATTGACAAAGTTTCAAAAGATAAGTGCTCTAGATAGATACTTAATCCCATAAAGAGAAATGACTACAGTTGAGTTACAAAATTTAGAAATACGAGAGTTAAGCTTACACTAAACATTATACCCAAGATAATGAATCAGATTTAAAAAACTAGCATTTTAAAACAGAAAAATATCTCAAATGCACTTGTATTAGTTTTGCTTCACATTAAACTCCGTTGCAATGTTTTGTTATGTTTTCGTGTTTTTTTTTGTTTTTTTTGGGGGGGGGGGTAATTCTTAAAATATTTTTATCTATTTTTTTTTTTACCGAATACATGTAGTTATAGCATCGATTCAGTATCCCTGAAAAGTGTCAATTTAAAAATAAGGTTTTGATTTCTTGAAATTTCGATTGAAATTTTAAGATATCCGGTCTTTGGGATATTATAAATGCACCACAACAATGAAAAAATATAACAAAATGTGGTTTATCTCATAAATCATGTAAACAAAAAGAAATAGTGGGAGAAAAAAAAAACACGGACTTCGTGGATTAAAACACAAAATGTAGGATCAGGTGCCTAAGCATCCCCTGTCGACACTGGTCACACCTGCCATGGACGCTCTGTATTGATGAAGCAAATAAATATAAATGAAATTAAAATGTTATGTATGTTTAACTTATGTCCACCACTATGTACATGTAAGTAGAAGGACAAGAGCGTCGCTCAGTCTTGTTTCGGGCCCAGTAAACTTGAAGATAGAATAATGTATGTAGTAAGAATTCTGTGAAAAGAAACATTAACTTTTAACATATTCAGCTTCTATTCTCAGCTTCAGAATGTGGCATCTTTGAATGAAGAGGACTAAGTGTTACGAATTTCATTACATGAAGCCAGAGGGTCAAACCACATAACCTTCAAAATTACATCTCATATACTCCTGGACCTCTTTCAAGCAAATTGTTTGGCATGATTATATCGAAATATTATCTCCTTACAAATAATTAGAAGTTTATGTCCCCTGTCCTAAGAAACAATCAAGTCTTGAATCAGAATCTGCATATTGAGTTTAAAAGGTGTAGATGTCAAACATTCCATAATAAAATGTTATTCAAGACTCATCTGTGAAGTGCTACTATCTGTAAAAACGGGATCACGTAACACCGCCCATTAGTTGGTCTCAAACGGAAGCCGTACTCTAGAGAAAAGAGTGCAAAAATTGCTTGGGTCTAAAATGAAACACAAACTAAATCAAACAAAAGAAAGTAATCTGAAGATCTTTCTACACAAAGATAATGGTAAAGCATTTTGAAAATGTTAATCCTTATGTCTTCCCACAAATTTTTATCAAAATAGAAAATTTGGTGTCATAACACCAAATTTTCTATTTTGATAAAAATTTGTGGGAAGACACTTAGAAGATCATTACATGTATACAAATTACTCGTTAGCGTAATATTATACTGGTCTCAGTTCATTCCTAGGGAGTTTATATTAAAGATACACTAAGCCTTCGAAATTTTGTTATTTACTCCAAGACGTCATGCAAGCAAACTTCTTACATGGTAATAAACAAGAAAACATTGATGTAACCATCAATTGTCGCCCGGGAAATAAATAAAGTAAACAATGGAAATGAGTCTTGATCATCAAACCGCTTCGATATATGTGTGAAAAAGGCATGCGTCTAAATGATGGAGACGATAGTCGAGAATATTTTGAAAACTTATAGTCGGATGAAAATCGAACAAAAACGATACCCTTTTAAACCTTATCAATTCCTCAAGTAAATGTTGGGTGCATAAAATATAAATTGAAACCAGACACATGCATCACCTATTTTCAAAAATGTCTTTCACTTTAAGAATATAAAACACGAACTGTGTAAAGTACGTTTTTACGTTTATATGCGATAAGTAAAATTCGATGTTCTAAAAAAAAGGGACCTGTCGTTTTTTCGATAGTAAATGATGAGCAACTTTATATATTAAATATGAAAAACATATATATTTTTACAGATTCACTTTATGGAAGTAAATATATTGTGTATCTCGTAATTTATAAAGGGAAAGAACATTCTGATTAACAATCTTTTTAATGTTTATAAAACCTTTAATTCTGAATAACTTCTCCCACCTCAATCCCCATATACCAACACTTAAACTTATATGTATAGAGCAGCCCGGTCCTCCGGGCTGCAATAACAATTTATCATCTATCTACATTCTGTGAAAACTTAATTCATAGCAAACCAAGTGGCATTCTGGCTGTTATTCGAGCAAAGTGGGCATCAACTATATACATACTAGAAAGGACAAAAGAGAAATTAAAAACTATACTAAAACTGCAAAGTACATAGTATCTTTTAATTTTGATGGCGTCTTTATTTAGTAACAAAATTTATTTAAAAAATATGTATATAAGTTCTCCACAAAATCATTTCAGGTTTAAAAGTTTTTCAAGCTGTATTTTGTGTCCCTTTGGTCAGGTCAAAGGGTGAGGATATATTGGTTATATATTGAAAATATATTATACCTTTCAAAAAAATTTTCATCCTCGGTATGTACAAGACAAACTTCATTTAATATGAAAAGGTTTATTATCAAAGAATCCTGTACTAATTTGGAAATGGTTCATAGTTTCATTCATTCCCAGGTGTGGATGAGATCAATCTAATTAAAATTAGATGTTCCGAATCCGCTACCGCTTCTCAAACGTTTGAGAAGCGGTAGCGGATTCGGAACATCTAATTTTAATTAGATTGGGATGAGATGGTCATTGTGTGGGAAACTCATAATACGCATGTGATCGAGGAATTTGAGCCTCTTGCATAAAGATCGAATTTTGTAGGCAAATCCTTGAAGCTTCAAGAATGGTGAAAAAGAAGGAATCGTTCAATGTGAGAAATCAAAGTCACCCTGGAGAGGAGATATGCATAACCTGGCTATTCTGAAAAGAATTTCATCTAAAAAATAAATGAAGCACTTGATATTTGATAACAGACCAGTACTTAACAGCTGTCTTAACCTTACTTTTGCTTTAACCATATAGTATCTACAATACAATTTTCTCTTTCATAATCTATATTAAAAGCATTAAAAATTTTCTTTTTCAGCTTGTTGGACTTGCTCTTATTGCAGCAGGTGCCCTGGTGATAGCAGGAGCTGACTTCATTGCGTCTGTTCTGAAGGCTTTTAAGGACCTACCCGTCATATCTGACTATATCACTATAGCAGCATGGGTTCTGGTCGGGATCGGGATATTCCTGGTGGTTATGGGAATTTTGGGCGGATGTGGTGCTTGTTGCAGCATCAAGGTCTTTCTGATTATTGTGAGTGTGGATTGATATTGTTTCTTCGTTATCAAAAGCGAACAAAGAATTCAAGAAAGTTATTTTTTTATTTAAAACTTAATAAACACAATCTAGTTTTCAAAAAATATACTAGAACAATAGGGAAGGATTTGTATTTATACAGAGTAACCTATTTCTCTTCTCTTTCTAAAGGATATTTAAGAGTAACTGCATATATAGGTGTCTTTTCATAATCATAATTCTTTCTAATTCCTATATAGAACCCCTCCAAGCTATGGCATGCCAAATTCACAAAAATGATCAAAGTATAGTTTCACACTGCAGGGATGGGGTAATTGAAAAAAGTAATTGTAATTGACTGTAATTAATTACATCTTTTGAAGTAATTGGAAGTAATTTGTAATTGAACATTTTTTCAATTACTTGTAATTGTAATTTAATTAATTACACTGAAAAAATACCATGTAATTTCAATTACTTTTTCAATTACATTCAATTACTTAATATAATACACATTCATGATATATTCATGATATATCGTTACCACTACCTACCCGTTTTACTGGTTTTTATTTTATTGTTAAAACATATCCTCAATCCTTCAATTAAACAAAATCTTAGGTTAATGCTTACAAATAAATAAATAAATGATTGGCTTGATAATAATAAACTAGTTTCTTTCTAATCATTATGTAAATTTTGAATTTTTGATCTATGTTTATAAATATGAATTTTGAACCACCCTTCTTAGGTCTATTCAGCTATGCAACACACATTTGTTGTACATGTATTTCAATCTTTGTTGTTTTATCAATAATAAAGAAAAGGAAGGTGTGTGTCATTAATTAAGTTAGAGTTCTCTCTTGTTGGGAATTAAGAGATAATTGCCCTCCAGATCACAGCTTTAAATTGCAATCAAAACAAATGAACTCCTCTAAAGAGATATTCATTCCATGATTTAGAAGACAAAGCCAGTGGAGATAAACATTTCATTTTAAAATTCTCCGCTCGTTTTAGAAAAGAAATACTTTCAATTTGATAATTATTTTAAAATCTAAGCAGATTTTTATGAATGAATTTTCTATCTGTACAATTCTGATTTATGAAGTAAAATTGTTCAACATAAATAGCAATTTGAGGTGTTCAGGTTACCTTCAAAGGAAATATTTAATTTAAGGGGTTACAGTTGCGACTCATTTTACTCTATTAAAATACTCACTTTTAATCAAATATCATAAGCCATGCAATTTGTGTACATATAGGTTTTGTGTGGAGGAAACTGCATCAAACAGATCTCGGATAGTTCTTTAAGAGATTCTTATTGTATTGTAAATAAATGTTATAAATTAAACCACATTATGATACACAATGCCTATAGCATATTATTTCTTGTACTGTTTGTGCAGAGGCTGAGCTTATATACAAATAAATGATGTTCTGTATATTCATTGAAAAGGATTATAAAAATTTTCAAAAAATAAAAAATAAAAATGTAATTTGTAATTTAATTAATTACTTTTGCAAAGTAATTGTAATTTAATTAATTACATGTCTTAGAAAGCCTGTAATTTAATTGTAATTTAATTGAAGAAAAAGTCGAAGTAATTGTAATTTAATTAATTACTTTTTAAAGTAATTGACCCCATCCCTGTTTCACAGACAGTGGCGTATATTCCAAATAGGCAAAAAGGCTGCAGCCTACACATCATTTTGTCAGGGATAAAAATTTAGATGAAAAAATGGGAAAGGGGAGTTGATAATAAATATTAACCTATTAATATTATTTTGTTGCAAATGCCAAAAAAGCATTCTTAGAAATCCGCACTTTTATACCTGCCCCATGTAAATGTTTTCAGTTTTGCTTTTTTAAGCCGAAATTCAAGTGTTATATTAAGTCTTATCGGACAATTTCAGAACCATCGACAGCAATACGATTAGTGCAGGAAGTGAAATTGATATCTTGAAATATTTTTGGTTTAAGTAGGAAGTCAAACGTATTGATCGTATTTCGATTATTCAGAAAGGAAATTTCCATATTTTCTAAGCAGAGTCAAAAATAGTTAAAAGTTCTCAATTTTGTTAAGTGGTCTTCTTATCATGATGTTGCCTACCCACATTGCGCCTCAGATTAAATCTGTGACTTCACACTACTAGCCTACACGTATACGCCACTAACAGATGATAAACTAGGTTCATCAACTGTAAACTACAGTTAACGAATTGTAAATAATAGTTAACGACTGTAATTTATATTTACCAAATCTCTACATCATAGTTTACGCCTCAATCCATGTTTCGCAAGTGTTAATTATACTTTTAACCGTGAAAAAAGTTTTATGCATGTGCAAAATATGGTTTATTTGATAAAAACAGTTTGACGATTTGTAAACTATGGTTTGCAATTCTAAATATAGTGAACGAAAACATGGTTAATCTGATAAATATAGTTTCACGATTAGTGACTCGATATTATGAAGTCTTAACTATGGTTAATGATTGCTAGTTATACGAGGGTCGTTCAGTAAATAATGCGAAAGGTCATGTAGAAATTGGAAAAGCATGTAAAGCAGATTCTTAATACTTTCAATCTCTCAACGGATTCCCTGTTAACATTAACACATGTCTAAAGTCTTTGTACCCATGACCAGAAAACCTCAGCATACTCATCTTAAGGGATGCTCTAAAGACACTGATGAATAGCACTTTCCATCATATACCTGAAATTGTAAAATCTTCCTTTGATTGCGTTCATATGTTTTTGGAAGAAAAATATCTCACAATGACTGAGATCTACATGTAGCTAATATAGGGGATGCCCAAGCTCTGTAAACTTTAAAACTCTGTAAACTCTATGCTTATTTGCAGCAGCGTTTTCAAGTGCAGAAAAATACTCCGGGGACCGGTATTTGGGCTTGCTTTGCAGGAAATCTGCTTAACTTTCCTGGGTGAAATTTTAACATAAAAGTTGTCATTGATAGTCCTTCCTTTGGCTGTATGTACATGTTTTACTGGATCTCTTGAACAAAAAGGAAATTAAAACATATTTGGAGCCCTTGCTTGTCTTTGCAATAATAGGACGACAGCTTTCTCTTTGATTCCACATTTTATTCTTGATCTTCCTTTTCGGCTATAAAATGTACACCAATGTTTGTTTTGAACATATTTTATTGCGTGCATCAAAAGGATTGGAAACAAGTTCTTTACAACTTACAAAGTTCCTCTCCGTATATATAACAATTTGTCATGCAAAATAGAAGAAAAATAATATAATTAATACAAGAAAAATAATATAATTAATACACAAATGTTTCGTCATCCATCACTCAAGTTTATCAAATCTTCTTTTTTTTTTGTACAAATGTTTATTTTTAAAAAGACCATTGGCACATTTAACGTGTGTTTTATCTTAAACATTTGTAAAGAAATAAGGCATCCATCTGATAGAATTATTGTTAGATTTATTTCACTTGTCACAACTCTATAAACTGTTATGACGATGAAATGTTTTGTGTTTTAGCCAACTTTGTCATGTTGCTCACAGCATCCATATTTTTGGTGCCTCTACAGATTTCGATCGACCACTTTGACTGCAATCTTTTAATTGTACTTTTTTCTCTTTTAAATTTCCGAATCCATCTGAAAACTATACAGCGTGAAAGACTAGTCTTTCCACATATCAAAATCATATATTCAATATGGGTTATTCAGCTATTTATGTAAAGAAGCAAAGTTTTCACACACGCCCTCATTTTCATCCTCTTGGCAGGGATCATTTTTAAACAGTTTTCATCTCAGTGTAGTGACCATGCTTACTTTAAAAGTGAATTCCTTTGCGACAACAATAGGAAAAAGCATGGGGTTTTCTGTGTTTAGGAGTTCTTTAATAGAACTTTTCAACTGTTTAAAAATAAAATTAAATACTTCTACATTTATTATGATAAACTGTATGAGGCATTACTTATTGAATGACCCTCGTAGTTTACAAGTTATAATTTATATTCATAAATTATCATAAACGTTTATTCAAAGTCGGATAAACTTTATTTAGCATTCGTAAACTATGGTGTACAACCGTTATATATAGTTTTACAGAGGAAAACGTTGGTTTAAAAATTGTAAACTTTAGTTTATACTTCGTAAATTGCAATTTTCAATTGATAACTCTAGTAATAATAATAATAATCAACTATAAAACTACATGTATGTTTAGCCCATTATTGTGAATTTGGCACACCCTACTAAGCAATTTTACATAAATCCTAGTATTATGCTGATGTAATTATCTAATTATTAATTAATAGTACGTCATCATCATGATCCTACTCCTCCTGATAGAAGTGACCTTTGTAGCTCTCTTGTTTTCTGACAAGGTAACACATACATGTATATGGATATTTTTTTTTAGCAAATATTGTGAAATACATGTAACAAACATTTACCAGAATAATGCATTGACAAACAATTTTTTAAAGAAAATCAGATATATGTACAAAACAAAGTGCACATACTCTATATATGTACATGAATTCTTTGTATTATTATACATGTATATAAAACATATCTTTATCATGTTTTAGCTGAAAGAATTGCTCTCGGATCCATTAACTAAGGAGTTCAAGAAGTATCAACCAATTATAAGTGGCAGTAATATAAACGCTGACGTAGAGAGCAGAGCCATGGATCTCCTATTTATAAGCGTGAGTAGATTTACAGCGTATTTTTATGACTGAAAGATAGAGAAGAGAAAGACACTTGTATACTTGTATAATTTCATTGTGGAAAACACAAATATGGTTTCCCTTAGTAATATCTTGTTTCTATTCCAATCAGGCTACCACGGCACAAAGGTTTGTTGAATACCGAAAAAAGGCAAGGTATTCACTAAAATAGATTTCTGAGTACCAGGGTATCTATTACAGAATAAGAAAGTTTTAACTTCATTAAAGATGTCAAATATCTTATAACATTCACTTTAGACGGTTTGTAGGAATTAATACCCCATTTATAACACCAAAAATCCATCTTTTCCAACAGCATTGATATTACTTGTTTGCTGCTCCTCGTAAAGATGCCGTAATGATTTTCGCATCCAAGTTTGAAAGTCTTGAATGTTGGAGAGGTCGCCTGATACATTAAAACAAGCGACTAATTTCATTTTCCGAAGGGGATGTACTTCGCCTGCACATGGCATTGTCAACAAATTTTTGTGCCGAAGTAGCCTGATTGGAATATCCGGTACTAAGGGAAACCATATTTGTGATTTATACAATGAAATAATGATAGCGGCTTCTTTGAAACAGCCATCAAATTTTTTTTAATATTTGAAGGCTGGAAAATATAAGGATGAAAAACTGACCATGACATTATAAAATCATCAACATGGTATTCTTCTAGATCAAAATTTCAAGAAACAAATTGATTCAGCTGTTTCGTAACCTTGAAGCAAAGCTATATCTGGCTTAAAAAACTGATTGAAAATTCTTTCAAAGATTTCTGATTTTAGCATCCATTCAGTTGAATTCTAGATAATGAATCGGCATAAACATTTTGAATACCTTGAATACATTGTGCAGAAATTACTCAATTTCTTTCAAAACACCAGTTCCATACTTCGACTTTTATTTTGTCCAATTGCTTAGATTGCATACCACCCGTTGCATTAATATATGAAATAACTTGGTTTTTTCAGTTTTGAAACAGGGATGTTTTGAACTAAACTTCTTGAAAAAAGATTCTAATGCAAAAATATTGCAAGAAGCTCCAAATAATTAATATGGAATTTTGCTTCTTCACATGTCCATCTACCTCCTGCCATTTTATTTTGAAATCTTGCACCCCATCCTTTTAATGGTGCATCTGTTTCAACAGGATTAGGTTCGATTAGTTCATTCCTATAGTGGTGCATTGGCCATGGATAGGGCCATGTAGTTCACGATCGAATCATCGCACCATCGAGGTCAATCGGATCACGCTCTTTCATTTCCGTTGCAGTTACGTAAAGGCCGAGTAGTTACGACTTCATCGAGGTTTGGGTCGATAGTACGATTACGGGATAATGCGATGACGATGAAGCGATGGTGCGATGACGATGATGCGATGGCGCGACTGCGATTACGATAATGTGATGGCACGATGAAGCGATAGCGCGATGACACGATGATGCGATATCGATGGTACGATGAAGCGATGTTTCGCTATCGCTCTATCTGCTATCGCACTGTCGCGTCATCAGCATCGCACCTTCACTTCATTCTCATCGCATTACCGCGCCATCGACCTTTTAGTCGATGATAGATTATGCGATAGTGAACTGCTGGCCCTAATCGTATTCCATACTTTTGTGTAGTTTTCACATATACTTGTACATGTACTTTTTTTGGTTCAGTATATATGACCGAACATGCAAATTCTACTTCAATATGATATTAATTTTCTCTAAACAGTTTACATATGTAATGTTTGTACTTTTCAGCTGAAATGCTGTGGATGGAATGGTTATAGTGATATGGCTCCAAAAAATGCAATTGGCTGTTGTAAAGGATTCACGGAGGAGATACTGCAGAAAAAAGATTTATCAGAATTAAACACCATACAAACAAGTTGTGCAAACCCCACCGGAAAATATTCTAAAGTATTTATTTTTTTAAATATTTTTTTTTAACCAATGATTATTGAATTTTTGATTTTACATATCAAATTAAATACTTCCATTATCCATCCACTATGTTTATCTAAAAAGAAAAGAAAAAAAAGTTTTTTCGTGACAATATAATATCTTAAGTAACACCAAATAATTAAATTTTGATGTGATGCCACTTGATTTGAATAAAACTACATTGGACAACACTGACGCCTGGGAATTTTCAAATAAAGATGCTTATCTGTTAATTCAGTAGTTTTCATGCGCAAATTTAAATGTTATTTATTATTTTTTTACGAAATTGTTGAAGTAAGTGTTTGTAGTCAAATTATATTCATAGGGCTGTTATAATGCCATATTGGATCTGATTGAAGACAACAAACCAATGGTCATCGGAGTGGGCGTGGCACTTTTTGTATTTCAGGTAAGGAGAGTTTGTCATAAGTGTATATATTTTTTGGGAAATGCAATTTGGTTAATTTGTACTTGATGAAAAGCTCGTTTACAACACTTTGATCGGTTAAATGGCTTTTGCAAAAACAATGAGAGGTATGGCGTTGATTTTAGAACCAGTTGGATGATCACAATACCACGAAGCGGGTCAATTTTCAACGGGATGAGGACTTAATTCCACACAATTGGTTTCAATATTCAACTTTAGAAAAGAAACCACCCCCACCCCCCCACCCCTCCCTCCGTTAATTTTTCAACCCAATTCAAAACCTTATATTAATTTTACAAATCGTTTATTTTGACTGATGGGGAACATTCCAAATTCTCAATTGCAAATGCTAGATCTCCACGTTGGATCTTCTCTTACCCCGTAACCAATGAACCTCTACTAAATAAGATGCCGACAACATATATATAATTGAATAAATTGCAAATTTTTAAAATCTTTTTAAAGCGATCCTTTTGAAAGTTGATCGAACAATCATGTCAGGAAATTTTATTTGCAAGGGGGAAGAATACCCCAGCTTGTTTTCGTGAATCTTTAAATCCTTATTGCGATATCATTCTGATAACAAATTAAACTTATATATATATATATATATAAATATAAATATATATATATATATATATATATATATATATATATATATATATATATATATATATATATATATATATATATATATATACACACACACACCAAGCTATCACTTTTTTCATAAATTGCCACAATCTTTGCTTTTGATAAACTTGAATTCATTTGATCCCAGGATGCAGTAAAACAATTTTGGTAGAAATTGGTCACATGATTCTAAATAAGAGTCGAAATCGTAAAAAGTAATTTATAGACATACCGAGAGCCAAAGGAACAGTTCAAGTTTAAAGGCCAGACAGAGGTTCCTCAATAATATATAATTTATCCCAAGATTTCGTGATTGACATATTGCTAATTTGACAAGTTTCCTAACAAAAAATCGAAATGCATTATCAGGCATTTGTGATAGATACCAGAGGATGGTATTTCCTAAATAATCTTATTAGATATTACTCGAATTTCTAATTTCACAGTTTCGGTGTTTATATTTTCTAAAGACTTTTTGAAAATAGTTTAGAAATCACAGGATAACAGTAATAATAATAATTTTTTGGTACCTTACAAAGAGATACAAAATCAGATATTTAAGGAATATCTCGTCTGTCCTTAATTAATTGAATCATTGACTTACATGAGCTAATTTTAATTTGGTAATGCAAGCAACTTGACTTAACTACATGTGAACAATTAAGGTCATCAGGTCATTTATATTTGTATGTATTATTAGTTATTACATAGGCGTATTCACAGGGGGGGGGGGGGGGGAGCGGGGGCACTAGCCCCCCCCCCTTTCAGATATGGGAGGGGGGGGGGGCAAGAGTATGTCTGTGCCCCCCACTTAATATATATATATATATATATATATATATATATATATATATATATATATATATATATATATATATATATATATATATATATATAGAATACTATAGAAAATATACGATATCATTGTCCCCCCCTCAATATATATATATATATATATATATATATATATATATATATATATATATATATATATATATATATATATATATATATATATATACATGTATATATATATATATATATATATATATATATATATATATATATATATATATATATATATATATATATATATATATATATAGAATACTATAGAAAACATAGCTACGATATCATTGTCCCCCCCCCCCTCAATAATAACGTTTGATGACCTTTTTTTTAGCTCACCTGAGCCGAAGGCTCAAGTGAGCTTTTCTGATCACATTTTGTCTGTAGTCCGTCTCTCCGTCCGTCTGTCTGTAAACTTTTCACATTTTCGACTTCTTCTCAAGAACCACTGGGCCAATTTCAACCAAACTTGCCACAAAGTATCCTTGGGTGAAGGGAATTCAAGTTTGTTCAAATGAAGGGCCACGCCCTCTTTCAAGGGGAGATAATAAAGAATTAGTGAAAAATTAATAGCATCTTTTAAAAATCTTCTTCTCAAGAACCACAAACCCAGGGAAGATGAAACTCATGTGGAAGCATTCTCAGGTAGTGTAAATTCAAGTTTGTTCAAATCATGACCCCCAGGGGTAGGGCGGGGCCACAATGGAGGATTAAAGTTTTACATAGAAATATATGGGAAAAACCTTTAAAAATCTTCTCCTCAAGAACAGCAAAGCCATGATGAGTCATATTTATATGGAAGCATCCTCAGGTAGTGTAAATTCAAGTTTGTTCAAATCATGACCCCCGGGGGTAGGGCGGGGCCACCATGGAGGATCAAAGTTTTACATAGAAATATATGGGAAAAACCTTTAAAAATCTTCTCCTCAAGAACAGCAAAGCCATGATGAGTCATATTTATATGGAAGCATCCTCAGGTAGTGTAAATTCAAGTTTGTTCAAATCATGACCCCCGGGGGTAGGGCGGGGCCACAATGGAGGATCAAAGTTTTACATAGAAATATATAGGAAAAACCTTTAAAAATCTTCTCCTCAAGAACAGCAAAGTCATGATGAGTCATATTTATATGGAAGCATCCTCAGGTAGTGTAAATTCAAGTTTGTTCAAATCATGACCCCCGGGGGTAGGGCAGGGCCACAATGGAGGATCAAAGTTTTACATAGAAATATACGGGAAAATTTTTTAAAAATCTTCTCCTCAAGAACAGCAAAGCCATGATGAGTCATACTTATATGGAAGCATCCTCAGGTAGTGTAGATTCAAGTTTGTTCAAATCATGACCCCTGGGGGTAGGGCGGGGCCCCAAAGGAGGATCAAAGTTTTACATAGAAATATATGGGAAAAACCTTTAAAAATCTTCTTCTCAAGAACAGCAAAGCCATGATTGGTCATATTTATATGGAAGCATCCTCAGGTAGTGTAGATTCAAGTTTGTTCAAATCATGACCCCCGGGGGTAGGGCAGGGCCACAATGGAGGATCAAAGTTTTACATAGAAATATATAGGAAAAATCTTTAAAAATCTTCTTCTCAATAACAGCAAAGCCCTTATTGATCATATTGATATGGAAGCATCCTCAGGTAGTGTAAATTCAAGTTTGTTCAAATCATGACCCTCGGGGGTAGGGCGGGGCCACAATGGAGGATCAAAGTTTTACATAGAAATATATGGGAAAAACCTTTAAAAATCTTCTCCTCAAGAACAGCAAAGCCATGATGAGTCATATTTATATGGAAGCATCCTCAGGTAGTGTAAATTCAAGTTTGTTCAAATCATGACCCCCGGGGGTAGGGCAGGGCCACAATGGAGGATCAAAGTTTTACATAGAAATATATAGGAAAAATCTTTAAAAATCTTCTTCTCAATAACAGCAAAGCCCTAATTGATCATATTGATATGGAAGCATCCTAAGGTAGTGTAGATTTAAGTATGTCCAAGTTTTACATAAGAACACATAGAAAAAATATTTCTTCTCAAGAACAGAAAAGCTATGTTTAGTCATATTGATATGGAAGCATCTTCAGGTAGTGTAGATTCAAGTTTGTTCAAATCATGACCCCTGGGGGTAGGGCGGGGCTGCAATGGAGGATCAAAGTTTTACATAGAAATATAAAGGAAAATATCTTCTTCTGAAGAACTGCAAACCATGATTAGTCATTTTGATATGGAAGCATCCTCAGGTAGTGTAGATTCAATTTTGTTCAAATGATGACCCCCAGGGGTAGGATGGGGCCCAATGGGGGATGGAAAGTTTTACATAAGAACATATAGAAAAAATATTTCTTCTCAAGAACAGAGAAGCTATGTTTAGTCATATTGATATGGAAGCATCCTCAGGTAGTGTAGATTCCAGTTTGTTCAAATGATGACCCCTGGGATAGGGAGGAGCCACAAGGGGGATCAAATTTTTACAAAGGAATATATCAGAAATTTTTTTAAAAATCTTCTCAAGTACAACAAAGCCATTTGTTATTTTGACATGGAAGCATCATCAGGTAGTTTAAAATTCAAGCCCCCCCCCCCCCCCCGGAATCTTTTCAATACTGAACTGATTTGTGCTTTTGCCTATCCACTGTGCTCAGGTGAGCGATGTGGCCCATGGGCCTCTTGTTTTTGCTTGTCAAGGAATTTCAAAGTGAAATTGCTTCCTACAGGCCTGTTAATTTCTTTATATTACACGTTTTAGAGGCCAAAAAAAATAATAGTCTTGTTTCCTGCTACCAGCCTGAAAAAAATAGGGTAGGTAGGTATGAAAATTATTTTATTTTATATTTTTATTTTATTTTTTTCCAACAGCATTTTTTGGATATGAACTAATACAAGATAAAAATTAAACATGTCACAGGTCAATATTGTCTTTTAAAGTTAAATTTCATGTCTTTTTATGCACAACTCAAGTGGTATTTTATGAAAGTCCATATTTAAAACAAGAATTTCATGAAATGCTTGTTTTGTGTTAACACAGAAACCAATTACAGTGACAGAACGATGAAATTCCAGAAATTCCCGATTTTTTTTCTTCCAAAACTTCAAAAAAACTTTAGGGTCGGGTGCAAAAAAATAGGGTAGGTCGGGTAGCAGGAAACAAGACTATTATTTTTTTGGCCAGATCTTTCTTGGATTTGAGCCCCCTACTTTTTTTAAGTTTGTGACTACGCCTCTGTATTATTATCGTTATTATTACATTTATTTATTTATTTATTTATTTATTTATTTATTTATTTATTTATTTATTTATTTATTTATTTATTTTTAGATTTTATGCATTCTGTTTGCAATTTGGATTGTGAAAGACAGTGCTAAGATTACCCCAGGGGACTAAACAGGGAACATTTTTACAAATGTTATTTTGAATGGAGTTGTTCTTTTTTATGTTTGAATAATCGAACATCTTTCTTGCTTATTTACTTGCTTTTAAGAGTCTCATTGTAATTACTCCTGTCTAAGCGACAGAAGTAAACTTTTCTTTTCGACAGTTAAAAGTAAATCGGTAAAATATTATATATGTACGTTTCATTTTATTCTCATATGAGTTTTGTTATTTTTCTACTCCTGTCCATGTTTTTATCCGTCCATTATACTATACATTTACCGATTAAACTTCCAGTCTGAAAAGATTGATTTTCCTTGATTCATTGCATGTGTAGATGTACATACAAATTGTCTGTAATAGACTGTGCTATTTTAAGGCATATGGAAACAATTGCCATAGCTACGAGGGGTGTTCAATATATAAGGTGACCAATCAGATTTCATAATCATAAAACACAGGGTTTAATTGATCTTTGGACTTTTTTCACGCATGATTTGGTTCATAATCTATTTATGGCCGTTTATCTGACCACGTTTCATCATCGAATACTACCTTGAGAAGCTGATATATAACCCCTGCTCGAGACACTGTATGAAAATATGACTGGTAAGTCATCTTCCAATAAGGCCGAAATTAGAGGCTACATTAAAACATGTGTCAGACTAGGTAAAGACTTAAAAGACATTTTCAAAGAATTATGTGATGTGTGTGGTAACGAGTGTATGTCACTGAGACAAGTTTACAGGTGGGTGAGCAAATTCAAAAACGGCCAAACAGATCTAAAGGATAAGCAACGTCCTGTACCACCTCGCACGGCTTCAACTGAAGCAATACTTGTAAAAATCACTAATGATGGTCGAGTAACCATTAAACAGATAGCAAATTTAGTAGGAATTTCGTCGGGGACAGTTTTTACAATTTTAAAGAAACACCTTGGGCTCCAAAAGGTTAGTGCACGATGGATATCTCATCTTTTAACAGAAAAACAAAAAGGATTCCGTGTTGAAATGTCTAAGAAATTACTTAAAATCTAAAAAAAAAAAGAAAAGAAAACTGCGATGCACGACGTTTTTCGGAACTAGTTACAGATGATGAAACATGGATACATTATTTTGAACCTCAGAGGAAAATTGATAGCAAGATGTGGTTGACTAAACGGCATAACACCCTGTTATCGCAAACGATGTCAAAGTATTAAGAAAGTATAGACGCATTTTTTTTTAATAGTGAAGGTCCTATAGTTCAGGTTGCTATTCCAAAAGGCCGATCAATCACCGGACACGTATATAAAAATCATGTCCTAAAAAAAGGTAAGAAACACTACGAAAGGAAGAGACCAAAGTCTGGAATTCGCAACATTCGACTTCTTCATGACAACACCCCAGCACATAAATCCCAGATGATGAGATCATTTTTGGAAAAAGAAAAGGTTCATGTTTTACCCCACCCTTCCTAATCACCAGATTTGTCTTCCTGTGACTTTTTTCCCCAAATTGAAAAAAAGCACTTGTCAGGAAGAAGATATGCTTCAAGGAGTGCTTTGGGTTCTGCCATTTATCAGTTCATGAATACCATACCCCAAAAACATTATAAGGAGAGTATTTTGAAGGGAACCATTAAAAAGATTAACAGAAATATTTTCTTGAGTTATTTTTTAACAGCAATGACATTATTTATTGAACATCCTTCGTACAATAAAAACCTATCCTTTATATCATTTTTCAGTAAGTTAGTTATACAACTAAGAATTAATCTCAAACACATCTCAATACATGTATTGAAAATGAACGGAAATATATTTTTAAGATGATTTTTTTCATTGAACATTTAGACATTTGGAAACCATGATTTACTTTCATCTTTTTATCATTCCCTACACGGAAATGTATGCAAATTGTCCATACTTAATTTTCTTTTCTGTTGAAATAATTTGATTTTTGGACAAATTATTAGATTTTTCTAATTTATTTTTTTTTTAATTTATAAAACTCTTGCGCCAGGTCATTTGTATTGGAAAATGTGTTTAATATGCTTTGAAATAAAATATAAATCTGGATGCTTTACTCGACTTTTTTTTTCTTATTCAGACAAATAATACAAAGGTAAAATTACAACGTGTCCTTAGTCTTAACTTCACGCTTCAGACGTATGTTTACCATAGAAACATACATGAAACATATGTTGTTCGTTTTCACAGGTACTTGTGGACAGGACCCTCCCCCCCCCCCCAAAAAAAAAAAAATTCAACCCCGATGTTTGTTGGATATTTTTTTCACGAATTATATTTATTACACTTATTCATCATGTGTACCATAGGATAAAATCGTGAAAACCCCAAACCACACAAAAATACCCCACTATACATTGTAAGAGATCTCTCTTATAAAAAATGTATAATGAGGCATTTTTTGTGTGGAACGGGGGGGGGGGGGGGTTCTGTTCACAAGTGCCTGTGGTTCGTTTTATATGGTAAACAGTTCTCTGGTCGTCCATCCCAATTTTTTTTAGACCAGCGAGCTACAGATCTGCAGCTACCCCTCTGATTGCATAAAACAACATACGAGCTATACAACATGAATATAGTTACATATTTTAAAATATCATGGTTTTGATATGATTATTTTTTGTCTCACTTATAAAAATCTTGTTTCTCATAGAACCAATCGCTGGAATGGAATCAATCATTTTGTTATTACCCATGACCTAAATATGAAAAAGGTAAAATAACGAACAGAGATCAATCTCTTAAATCCTGTAAACAATGCCAATCGCAGGGCAAAAACGGACCCTAAGAAACATCAGAGTGGGATCAGGTGCCTAGGAGGAGTAAGCATCCCTACCAGTCGAACACACCCACCGTGAGCCTTTCTTATTAATCAAATAAACTGAGTAAGCTTTTGTCAAAATTAGTTTAAGAAAAAATGACCTACATGAAGCAATTGGTATGAAACATATCAGTCAAAAATAGGATCCATTAAGTTGTATTTGCAATTGCATGTAATGTCATTAAATTGACCATAGAATGTGCGAAAGGCTGACTTGAAACGAGATTAGTAAGAGCTTTGTAACATCAACTCATTTGTCAGCCTGCCTCATTTTAAAGATTGATCGTATACTCAGAGTGGTAAATATGTCCTTTTCCACTAATACTTAATTCCATTTTTCGATTTCTTCCCCAGGACCGATTCTATTTCAACTAATCTAACAGAAGGCATCTTTGGATACAGTAATTTGTTTTTTTCTCTCTCTTCTTCTTCTTATTTTCCCAAATGAACGGCAATGCTTCTCCCAAAAGAAATTGATTACTAAACGGTAAAAGTATATCAGATCTTTTAAGAATTATCTTTAAAAACAAGATGTGTTTGTGAAACACTGATGCCCCCGTATGGCAACTTATAGCAAAGGTTAAACTTTCTCAAAAGCAAATCTAATATGTTGGTACACAAAGTAAGGTCTTGTCTCGACGTATATACCTGTGAAATATGAAAGCCCTAGCAAACCATTGAATATAGAAAAGGTTAAAGTTTTTCAAAAGTAAGTCAAACATCAAGGTCAAGGTCAAATGGTCAAAATTAATGGTGCCTAAGGAAAGGCCTTCTCACAAGAAATATAAAGGTGAAATATGAAAACTGAAGCACCAATCGTTCGAAAGTTATGACCAAGGTTAAGTTTTTCAAAAGTGGGTCAAACTCCAAGGTCAAGTTCAATGGATTTCAATTGTTGGTATACAAAAGAAAGGTCTTGTCACAAGGATTAAATATGTGAAGTATGAAAACCTTAGCACCAACGGTTCAAAAGTTATGGCCAAGGTTATAGTTTTTCAAAAGTAGGTCAAACTCCAAGGTCAAGGTCAAAAGGTCAAAGTTGTTGGTATCCAAAGGAAGGTCTCGTCACAAGGATTACATATGTGAAGTATGAAAGCTGAAGCACCAATCGTTCAAAAGTTATGGCCAATGTTAAAGTTTTTTTCAAAAGTAGGTCAAACTCCAAGGTCAAGGTCAAAGGGTCAAAGTTGTTGGTATCCAAATGAAGGACTTGTCACAAGAATTACACATGTGAAGTATGAAATCCCTAGCATCAATTGTTCAAAAGTTAGGGCCAAGGTTAAAGTTGGATAAAATTTTGCAAAACTGGGTCAAACTCCAAGGTCAAGGTCAAAAATGATGGTACTCAATATGAAATATGAAAGCCATAGCTCTAACCAATCAAATGTTATGGGCAATGTTAAAGTTTTTGCGGACAAACAGACAGACGGACGGACAGGGCAAAAACTATATACCCCCGAATCTTCGATACGGGGGCATAAAAAGGGGTGGGATTTTCGACAATACCATATTTTGCTAATTTTTTATCTCAAATAATAATAATAATAAATTCACAGAAGTTTTATTTGAATAATGTCACATAATTAAGTTTGGTTTTCCATATCGTATTCTTATAATTAGTGAACTCTGTAATGAAATGTATGGAGGTAACGAACAGTATTCACGCTCAAAAGTCCATTAAACAATACAAATTGGAGCAGAGCAAACACAGACATCTAAAACATCAGAGGTGGGATCAGGTGCCATGGAGGAGTGAGCATCCCCTGCTGACTGGTCACACCCGCCCTGTGCTCCTTGTCATGAACGAGAAATAACGGGAAAAACTGTCGACAATTCAGTGTGTAAATAATGGCCTGACAATAAGTATGAAAAACACCAGTCAGCATTTGACTTAATGATAAATTGTATTTGCTGACAAGGTCATTGTATCGACCATAGAACTTACGAAATGACGACTTTAAACGAGACTGTTGATATTCTTGTTTCATCAACTTGTTTGTCAACAACTTACCTCGTTTTAGAAAATGTGCATACGTAGAGCATGCTATTGCGTATCGAATCAACTGAGAGATATAAACCCCGTATGCAGGTGATGAAGGTATATTGCTGCATAAGTAAGGGAAGTTGATGATTGTAAAGTTAAAGTCATCACGTTTATCATAAAGCTTGGTTGTTCGATTACCATTAAAGTCTTATTCTAGTAAAATATCCAAATATGAAACAGATGTGTCAGACTCTGTGGTATCTTTTATTTCAAGCTCACTGGGATCTATCGTATCGACATAAGAATGGAAATAACCATTGTTGATTGACAATACATCGTCGATACATGTATATCTAAATGTCGAGTTGAAGGCCACAGCAAGTGTTTTCTTCTTTTAACGTGTAAAATTTTGAACAAATTCTGCTTCATATGAATACAGAAATAGGTCTGCTAATAACATAATGAATGTTCGAAGTATGGCATCCTTGTGCACTTTTAATATCGAGCCTATTAGAAAATAACAGTGAAAACCTTTTAGTAATTAAGTGTTGTATGAAGTAATCCAACCAAACTTTACGTATTGATTATTCCTATGCCAAGAGAATTATACTTCAAAATGATTGTACTAAATGCAACACTTATTGTTATGTCATAATGAAACAAAATTTCAAATTGTAAATTCAACGTAATGAATTTAAAATTTATAACATTGCTATTCGTTATTATTTCAAGTGAAATATATTGTCTTTTAAACGTTCATATACATACCTGTTCCAAAAACCAATTATGTGTAAAGCCAACCGAAGAGAATAACTTTATTGTGTGTGTGTGTGTGAGGGTGTGTGTGTGTGTGTTTTCCGTTTCAAATCATGTGAAAGTCAAGGTCTGTCAGGTAAAAGTCATATATGGCGTATTTTTTGTTAAGTTCAAATAACCAAAATTAAAAAGATCTTTCTATTTGTTTGGTTTTTTTTTTTTTTACTTTATATAAAGATAGGACTTTACTGTAAATTACACAATTTAAATCAATCGCGTTTCAAAGATATTTAAAAATTTTAAGATTAATTATATCATTTAATTAGAGAAACGTGAGGTAATTCAAGTACAAAATCGGTGAAATTTTTAATTTAAACATGAATAACACATATCATGTGTATATCTACATTTATTCTCGTATTATTTTTTAGCTCAGATATGCCATATAGCTTTAAGAATGCACCACTTCAATAAAATTCATATCAATTCTGTAAATCCCATGGAAACAAGTACAAGTTATCATAAACAAATGCACATATATTAAATGTTTTCAAGCTTCTATTACTATGCTGAGGGTAGATTTTGTCACTAAAGTTCTCTTTAATGCTAG